GATTTCTCACCATGGGTCAAATATTTGTAGTAGTTATCTCAGACATAATACAGAGTGAAATTCAATTCTTACTCTGCATTGACATAAGGTTAATATGATAAAAGGTTAGCAAGCTCCAATTTGATTCAACATAAATTTTTCTTCATCTACTGTGGGCCTGCCAAACCTATAGGTCTCTGGAAGTGCTTCTGTCAAGAATCTTCACAGTTCTACTTAATACACTCTTACAGTCAAAGCTCAAACTTATGTTTTTGTACCATACAGCTTTTTCTGCTGCAGGGCCATAAGTAGTCATGTGGAACTAACAAGACAATGTAGAGAATTTTCTAGAAAGACTGTTCTGTCACTTTTCAATCATCTTAGCACTTGGAAGGCAGAGGCAGAAGTCATACTTGTAAGTAGTTGGCCTAATTCTAGACAGGGTTCCAGTCAGACCCTGACTCAAACCAGCAAAGAGAGAAAAAGAGAGAAGACTGTTAGGATAGTGAGCCAGAGATTCAGGAGTGGGAAGAGTTCACACACACACACACCCAGTAAGACATGGGCTAGTCACAATGGTCAGACCTCAGGGCTAGAGAGATGGCTCAGCAGTTAAGAGCAATTCCCAGCACCCACATGGCAGCTAACAATGGCCATATTTCAATAGTGAAGCTCAGTTGACCCTGACAAACTAGTCTAGATCTGCCATAGCAAATATCCAAAGCAAGCCTTAAGGATAAAAATAAAGGAAAGTAATGCACTCTTTGCCAGTTGAATAAAACAGAAACAAAGCAAAACTGCCAGTCAGGCATGATGCTGCACCCCTATAATCCCAGGAAAAACAAAGTAAGACCAAAAGAATTCAGTGTTTCCAAAATTAAATGATGAAAATAAAGCCCTCCACACTATGTCTGCCATCCAATTAGGATTTCCAAGTATATGAAGAAGAAAATGTGATGTATAACCAAGAATGAGAGAAATTAATAGAAACAAATAACTGTGATTGGGATGTGCTCAAAAAGCTGGGCATGGTGGCACACACCTACAATATGGGAAACTGAGGCAGGAGAATTGTGAATTAAAGGCCAATCTAGACTATATAACAAGATCCTGACTCAAAAAGTCAACTTATACATGGGGGATTTAAACTGTCTCCAGATATTAATTCAACAGCTAAATGTATGTGCTATATGTCAGGTGCATATATGTTCAAAGATACAGAGTACAATAAACATTATGAGAGGGCAAAAGGATGATTAAAAATGACTCAAATGGAAAATTTAGAGGTAAAAACCACAACATGCAAGATGAAAAATGTACTGTGTGAATAAAAAGTACACTGGATTATGAAGAAGACGACACTATGAGAATCGGACCCACAGTGGTAGAAGCTACCCTACATGAAAGAGTGAGAGAAATACACAGACAACATGAGCATGGACTTAGTGACTTATGGGACAATAAAGGAAATAAAAATGCAATTTGAATTCAAAAAGAAAGGAAGGAAAAAAGGAAAGAAGGGAGGAAGGAAGGGGTTATGTAAAATAGATACTTGTTTTGTTTTGTTTTGGTTTTTTTTGGAGGGGGGTTCATGTTGCTTTGGAGCCTGTCTTGGAACTAGCTCTGTAGACCAGTCTGGCCTCGAACTCACAGAGATCTGCCTGCCTCTGCCTCCTGAATGCTGGGACTAAAGGCCTGCACCACCAACGCCTGGCTAGATAAAGAAATATTATGGCTGAAATTTTTAAATTCATATTATTAGAAATTCACAAATCCTACCTGTTTAACAAACTACACACACACACACACACACACACACACACACACACACACACACACATATCTACTTATGTTTAAAAACACAAAGTTCCAGGAAAGAAACATAAATTGTCTACTCCAAAAACTAACGAGAAAAAAGTTTCATCTCAAAGGGACCAAAAACTTCCTCCATAAGAAATTTGGGACTCAATAAGGCTCTGCCATCAATGGGCACAGTGACCAGATCATCCTTGATAGCTCTATCCTGATAAACTCTCACTAGCTGCCATAGCTTCTTTAGTGAGTGCTTGATAACCCAGGAAGAAGTTGACAGTGAGGTCTCCTTGATACCTGCTCACAAAAGCTTCTGCAGAAAGGAGTGCATTTACTGAACATTCTCGAGGGGTGGCAGCCTACTCAGTCTGCCCATTCCATTTGATGTAAGCATTCCTTATCACCACCATTCTTTCCAGATAGCAGAACATCTGTCTGAAGTGGTAGCCACTGAAGGAGTTGCCTTTGGATCTTCCTGGAGGCTATGGTTAGAATGAGTAACCAAGCTGTGCATCCTTCTACTCACAGTATTCTCGACTCCCTGAGTGGGTGGGTGTTTCTTTTTTAAAGTGGCCTCAGATTCGCTCTGTAGTTGGAGATGACCTCGAACTTGATTTTCCTGTCTTCACCTCCCCAGGGCAGACATTACAGGTCTTGTCACTGCAATGTGGGGATAGGACCACGAGTGGCAAACACTCTCCCCAATAAGCTACATCCCCAACCTGTGTTCCTTTCTTAAGACTGGATCTCATGTAGCCCAAGCTGGCCTCCAACTTATTATGTAGCTGTGGCTGTCCTTGATCCTCCTTCTGGCACCTCCCAAGTGCTAGGATTACAAACATGCACCACCATGCACAACTCCCCCCTGGGTGATTTAGATTTCTTCACCTGCATTAGTTGGCACTACAACTTCATTTCATGAGGATCACCACTGTGGTCAGCCTGTAGGACACCAACTGAGCAGTCCACTGCAGCCAAGCTCAGCGGCCAGAGTAGCACACCTGCCTCCTTCAAGGCCAAATTCAGACTTCCATTCATATTACTTGGGTTTCTGTCTATAAATGAGTGGCATTCCTTTGTCATGTAAACTATCTTCTTTCCATCACATATTGTCCATATCCTTTTGGGGTGTGTTAACCTCTAATTCTAGTTATAGGGGTGAAGGGAGAGGTAGTGAGGGGTCCTTTGGTGAGTCAGCACCCCTCCCCTTATTTTCAGGTGATACTTCAGGTTCTTCATTCCAGATGATGCCAGCCTCATCAGACAAAGACTGGAGAGCCTGTTGGGACAGCAGGATCTAAGAGGGCAAAGGCACATGGATTCATCCTAATCTATCTATGTTCCCAGGGTTGCTTTCTTTCCCAACAGAAGAGACATATAGTGAATATTTTGTAATTCTGCAGGTCAGCTTGTAACATCAGACTTGGAAGCAGATTTTGTTTTGTTTTGTATTTCAAGACAAGGTTTCTCTGTGTAGCTTTGTAGACCAAGCTGGCCTCAAACTCACAGAGATCTGCCTGCCTCTGCCTCCCAAGTGCTAGGATTAAAGGCATGTGCTGCCACCACCAGGATTGGAGACAGATTTTCAAATCATCCAAGAGACTACATGAAATAAAAGATCTTTGCAGTAGACATTACAGTGTGTGGTAAAAATTATGCTTGAGTTTGTCACATATATTTATTATTTATTTATTTATTTTTCAAGACAGGGTTTCTCTGTAGCTTTGGCGGCTGTCCTGGAACTAGCTCTTGTAGACCAGGCTGGCCTCAAACTCACAGAGATCTGCCTGCCTCTGCCTCCTGAGTGCTGGGATTAAAGGCTGCACTATCACCGCCTGGCTGACAGACCTTTTTTTTTAAAAAAAAATAAAAGTTATTTATTTATGTTTTATGTATGAGTGCTCTGCATGTATATTTGCATGCCAGAAGAGGGCATCATATCCTATTATAAACGGTTGTGAGCCACCATGTGGTTGCTGGGAACAGAATTCAGGACCTCTAGAAGAGCAGCCAATGATCATAACCACTGGCTCTCCAGCCCTGACAGGGCCTTTTTAATTACTTGGAAATGTGATTAAAAGACAGATGGCTATACCTTGGATCCACCTAAATGTCCCAGCAGAGTTTCACATTAGAGAATTCAAATCACAACTCAGATCCATGGCACAAGAAAACTGTAGACTCTGGCCATTGTCATTCTACCTTACAAAGAGAGGTGTGGACAAGATGCAATGCATATTGTATATTTGGGGCTTTCCTGCCTCATGTTGGGAGTACAGCTTCTTGGTTCTAAGTCTAGCTCCTGAGTTCTCCCCATCTGTGGAGTGGGGATGGGGACAGGGACTTGATGATGCTTAGCTCAAAGTTCTGGCCTGAGGATGTACCATGGCAGTGTGTGTCACAAACTAAATGATGAACAATCTAAGTCCTGTGCCAGTGATCGATACTCTGGGAATGTGTTACAGTCATACAGGAGGGTAGGATTTCTCATCAACCTAGACTGCTGAAGTTGCCTTGTGATAGAAATGTACTTAAGACCTTTCTGGGAGCAGGTAGTTCTTAACTGCTGGCCTGTCCTGGTGGATAGTATGAAACAAGGGACTGGCAGGTAAGGAATGAACAAAATGAGAATAGATTGAAGAAAGATTCCCTTCAACCCTCTGACCATTTTTGTCAAGATGGTCAGGTCCTCCTTGACTCTGCTATAAGTGTGAAAAGGGAAGAGGGAGACTTTCTAAACCTAAACTTGAACTGTCTTGGCTCTGTCACCCCCACAGGCTGGCAGGACCCCTCTGAGAGTTACTCAGTATCTCGCACTGTGCTGGAATTCTGTAGCATCCATGTGCCCAGCTGCATCCTAAAAGTTTGTTTTTAAAACTAGATGTGATTGATCATTGATCCTGGAACCTACTAGCTACCGCGAGCAGGAGACTTGAGATTCTTCCTTTTCCAGCAGAGCTTTCCCAACACAGCAGCCAGGAAATATCCAGAAGCCTGGGAAAGCGCCTACAGCGACCTGCCACTGTAGCTGAGCCTAAGTGCAGAGGCTATCCCAACATTGGCTCCTACACGCACGCTGGGACAGAGGCACCACGCCTGCCTGTCCTCTTGCGGGTGCAAGCCAGTATGGGAGGGGCTGAGTGCGGGAAGGCGGAGTCCGCCGGGAAAACGAAACTGAGTGAAAGGGCCAGTCCTGGCCTGGCCTTCCACCGACCAGGCAGGGACAGTGAGCAGCGACCGGTGAAGCCATCTCAGAGCCAGCACCAAAGCGCAATTTGAATCCTAAACCAGGGCACAGGTTACTGTCCAGATCCAAGAACTCGGTAAGACCTGAGGGCTATTTTCCATTCCTCATGGGCAGCGGCAGAGGGGCAAGGTACCTAGAAGGAAAGTGATAGGCCCCATGACCTGAAACTCTGGAGGGAAATCTGAAAGTCTGAATGACTAAAAACCAGACATGGACTTGTGGCTGCACAGCTATGATGGTTTTCCAGTTAGCAGACCTCTGTGTCAGCCGAGTCCCGCTCCATCCTCCACCTTGCTCTTCTCCATGCACCTGAGTTTCCTTCTTGCTTTCCTGCACAGATCTCCACCACATGAACCCCTATGGTCAGGCAACCGCATCTCCCCACCCCCAAATCCCCTCCCCCCCACTCCCTGGTGCCTACCACTTTCAGACTTCTTTAGTGCATCTGGGCCACAGCCAAGTACCCTTCAGCTCCGGGCCTTCATAGTGCTTCTTCCTACTTCCTGGAAAGCCCTCCCACCTCCTAACTAAGTAATTGCATGCATAAATTCCTCTGAATACCCACGCCTTCTCACAGAGCTAATTGTATGAGCAGCCTTCCCTGAGCAAGAACTTCCATTCTGCCCTCCTTGCCCCATCCCCTGTATTTTTCTCTATTTCCCAACTTAGTACCACGATTTGTCTGTATCCTTCTACCAGTAAGATCCCAACAACAGTTTTTATTCGCATATATAATCCTAGCACCTAATACCTGACAAGTGCTACATGTATGTCAAATAGATGTTAATTCACAAATACCCTTGAATTCTAGACAAATGAGATTTCCTGTTGCACATTTAGTACTGAAAGTGCCTTGCCTCCCAGAAACAACAGACACTTTCTAGGCGATTGCCCAGGACCATAGAATCTTGTACAGACTAGACTCTTGCTGTTCAGCTTGTCCTGTGAATCTGACTGGGCCAAACACTGTTTACAGCTTGCTCATTTATGTAGTAGATACAAGTTGAATGTGTGCTGAATGGGAAACAGTTGCTGGAAGGGCCTCAGGTTTCTGGGAGCCTACAGTCTGCAGGAAATGAAATTCGGAACATAGGTGGGACAGGCAGGTGACATTTGTTGGAGCATGTGATGGACAGCTCTTTGGGTGAATGAATAAGAGCTGTAGCTGCTACCTGGTGAGTTCACTGACTAGGTTATAGAGCAGCAGGGTGTGATGAAGGTAGCAAGGAGGAGGAGTGATATTAGCTGCCCCTGCAGCCTCAAAGAAGGCCAGGCATATCCTGATTGGTGAATAAAAAATTGCCCAGGAGACAGGGCTCCAATTTGTGGGAGTGTGGATTGGGAGGTACCTGGTCTTCATTCACTAATGGACTCATCCATTGATCTGTATCAAAGCCTTCCTTCCTTCCCTTTTCAGTTAAAACTGTTACATTTGTTTTTTTAAAGAATTTATTTACATTTTATTTTTTAATTATCTGTGTATGGGTATGTGCATAGGAATTCTGGTTCCCTTGGTGGCCAGAGAAAAGTATCGAATCCCCTAATGCTAGAATCACAAGGAGGTTGTGAGGTGCCTTGGATACTGAGCACCAAACTTGAAGTCTCCGGAAGAGCAGCAGTGCTCTTAACTGCTGGTCATCTCTCCAGCTGAAAATTTATTTATTTATTTTTTAGTGTGTGTGCCTGCCTGTGCATGTATGCCTTCATGTGTACCTGCGTGTGTGCATGTGTACATGTGCTTCAGTAAGTCTGTCAAGGCTCTCCTTCCACCATGCAGGTCCCAGGGATTGAACTCATATAGTCAGTCTGGGCAGCAAGCTCCTTTACCTGTTGACCTGTCTTGCTAACCCTGGTGAGAACCATCACTGTGTAGGGACAATGTAAAGCCACAGCCTGGAGGTGATCACCAAAAGAGAAGGTAAGTAGGAAATAGGAGACTTGAGGACTGGGCCCATGGACAATATTTAGATGAAAAGAAGAGGAAGAGGGACCAGAAAGAAGACAGAGAAAGTACAGCTTGTGAGAAAGGGTGAAAACAACCTAAGTCTCACAACCCTAAGCTAAGAAGGGGGGAAGAGGAAGAGGGAAACAAGTGACCGACATTGACTATTGGATTTGTCAATGAGCAAGCCACTGGGTATGTCATAACAGCAGTCTTGGTGGCTTGTAGAGGCTCCAGGATCAAATGACACTTTAAAACATCCTAATACTGTGACTCTTTAATCCTCATGTTGTGGAGACCCCAAACCATAAATTCATTTCACAGCTACTTCATAACTCTAATTTTGATACTGTTGAATTTTGATACATTATGAATCATAATGTAAATATCTGCTATGCAGCCCCTGTGAAAGGATCATTCAACCTCCAAGGGGTCTCATCCCACAGGTTGAGAATTGCTGCTTTAATGGATCACAATGTGAAGCATTTTGTTTAAAATTTAAAAAGTAAAATTACATTTTATGTAGTGCTAGGGATCAAACTTGTGGCTTTGTGCATGCTAGACAAACCCTCTATCAACAAGCTATGTTTGTTTGATGTCTCCAGCCCACTAAACCTTAAATTTTTCAATTCACTTTAAATAAATACATAGAAACATAAAAATTTCCAGATTTATTGGGCATTAGGAGATATTGATAATATATAAACATTGTACAATGTCTAAAGCAGGTTAAATGTATCTACACCAAGAAACATTTTTTTCCTTTCTTTCTCCTGGGCAATAGCCTATGTTCTATATAGTGTGTGCAAATGAACATACATATATATAGACATGTGTGTGTGTTTGTGTGTGCATACACATTCATTTTTACGTACATAATTGTGTATGTACATGTGTGTATGTACAACATATAGCAATATATGTATATGTAACCTTATTTTTAACATAAAAACTGTAATTTCACTCCTACACTTTTTAATGCCTTCTCAGTAAGGTAAACAGACTGGAACGTCTCACACTTTGGAAAACAGGAGTAGAACAAAGGATAGGATCCTCTTTCTTTGGCCATCGTTTTGGAAACAGATGATTTAGGAGGAGAGAAGGAAAGATCCTGACACAAAGTGTCCTCTGAATCTTTCTGGGGCTGAGGTGAGTCAAGTCGAAAAGAGCCATTCTCCCATGGTCTCCTAAGTGGGTTGGAGAAATCAGAATAGATGAGTCTGTTAGTGTCAACGTGTGTAGATACCTCTTCAATTGCAGGTTACTGTGAGGAAAAAATGGCCAGTGATACACCTGGTTTCTACATGGACAAACTTAATAAATACCGCCAGAAGCATGGAGTAATGATTACGTATAAAGAACTTTGTATTACAGGACCTCCACATGATAGAAGGTAAGTTGCTATCAGAAAAGGTCTGACCATGGCCAGGGAGGTGACTCAGTGGGTAAGTTTTTGTTGTGTAAGTATGAAAACCTGAATTCAAATCCCTAACATCCACAAAAAAAAGCTGAGTGTGATCTGGGTATAGGTGGTGCATGCCTTTATTCCCAGCACTGGAGAGGCAGAGGCAAACTGATCTCTGTGAGTTCTAGGCTAGCTTGGTCTACAGAGCAAGTTCCAGGACAGGCTCCAAAGCTACACAAAGAAACCCTGTCTCAGGAAAAAAAAAATTTCTAAGTATGCCTGAGTTCATGCCTGTAAGTTCAGCTCTGTATAGGGCAGAGATAGAAGGATTGTTGAGGCTTTCTGGCTACCAGCATAGCTCTACGTCCAGTAAGAGACCCTGTCTCAAGGGAATAAGGCAAAGAGTGACAGAGCGGGATGCCTGGAGTCCTTCTCTGACCTCTGGTTCAGTCCCCAAACATATGCATACACCACACACCTACTGAACACACACACACACACACACACACACACACACACACACTCACACACTCACACACTGAAATGATGAAGGGAAGGAAGGAAGGAAAGTATGACCCAGATAATGGAGGTGTAGCTCACTGTTAGATACAAATTTCTTCCTGCTTCAAGAAGACATTGTTATTGGAGAAGATGCTGACAGTCCATACTGAGCATGGGTCTGAATCTGACACGTGCCTGTGGGGAATGGTAGCCAGGGTGCTTGTCCTTCGGTAAATCACCAGCTGTGTATTATGTTGTGAATACCGTCTTTCCTAATCAGGTTTACATTTCAAGTTATAATTGACGGGGAAGAATTTCCAGAAGCCGAAGGTAGAACAAAGCAGGAAGCAAAAAATGCTGCTGCCCAATTAGCTGTTGATAAACTTAACGAAAGCAAGGTGAGTAATTGCCTTTTTATCCCTGGTAAAAGGGAAGCTGTATATATGTGTGTATGTATGTATGCACATATGCACTATGTACATATAATTTCTCTCAGTGAGACAAATACACATGCCAGTGTAAAACCACTCATTCTTTTTCTTCCTATTTTCATTTCTCCCGAATGAGAAGTACACCAGGGAAATGTTGATGGAGCTGTCACTTCTAAATGAGTGTTAGCAATACTTACATGCTCTTAATTGAATGCATGTGAAAGATGAGACTATTGAGTGGAATGTGGGCTGTCAAGGGCTAGGAGGAGTCCCTTCCACCTCAGCAAGGAAATAGAACAGAGAAAGTCATGCAAGTCCTTGCAGGAAGAACTATGTACCTGGAGGAAAATAACAGAGGACCAGCATACAAAACACTGGTGTCCCTGAAGGTGCAAACAGGGTAAATAGCACATCAAGCAAACAAATGATAAACAGATATAGCTGGTCCCTGGGGAGGTTGGGGAGGTATTTGGTTCTGTGATTAGCATGCGAAAGGCCCAGGACACAATTATTTAATATTAAGTAAAACAAAGTGATCTGGGGATATTTCAGCTGAAAGTGTTTAATGAAGACATGGCGTTAGATGAAATTAACTCCATAGGTAGAGGAAAATATAGAAGTACCAAGAACAACATTGATCCTTTTCAAAGCGCTGACCCTCCAGAAGGAGGAAGAACTTTACAAATATCCAGGCAGATGGTAAAAAATCACGTTATCTGCTACAATGTCAAAAACCAGGAGGCTGGAGCAGTGGCTACAAAACGAGGCATGAACTGATTTGTGTGTGAGATGGGAAAATCTCCCTCAGATACTGGGAAGTTTCACCTTCCAACATACTTCCAGATAATCTTACTTGAAGATGCCATCCTACAATCAAGTCAAAAGCAACCAAGAAAAGCCACAAAGTCTCTTATTAATAAGCTAAAAAAAAAATGAGTAAAAAAGATAAAACAGGGTATAACCTCCCTCTCAAAGTAAAAGAAAGACTATGGTAACAATGATGGAAATTTGTGTAGAAGAACACAAATAGTAGTAAGGATAAATGAAACCCAAACCTAGTGCTTTGGTAAAATTCATGAAGGAGAAACTTTGGACCAAATCTAATCTGGTGGGAAATAATGAAGTTTCCGATAATAACAACGCTGCTTCTGTGTACATCTTTTCCATTAACTTGTGAGCTGACACAGGGCTTCCCTTCAATCATTTACTCACATTTTGATGTTTAGAAAGGGTGCAGCATTCTAGAAAATGTTACAATATTATTTTCACGGAGGGTTCAGATGTGTAGATTGGGTACCGAGAGGAACAGAGTTCTGTTCCCAACACTCTGGGTGACTCACAACCACCTGTAACTCCAGCTCCAAGGGATTACAACCATCTTCTGGCCTCCTCAGACACCCTCATGCATGCTTGCACAGGCGGCGTGTGCGCACACGCATGTGCGCACATAGATTTTTAAAATAAATAAAGGTAATAAAATAAATCTTAGAAAGTAAAACAAGGAAATAGGCCTGTTTTGTTTTGGTAAGACAGGCTGGCCTTGGGCTTTCTGTGTAGCTCAGGTTAGCCTCAGGCTTTCTGTGTAGCTTGGGCTGGCCTCAGGTTCTCTGTGAAGCTGAGGTTGACCTTGTTACTCTTTTTTTTTTTAAATAATTTCTTTATTGATTATTTGGGAATTTCACATCACACACCCTAATTCCACTCATTCCCAGTCCCCCCATATCTGCCCTTCAACCTGGCAGCATCATCTACAAAAGAAAATGGTAAAAATTTAGACCAAACCAAATAAAAATAAAACAACAACAAAACCCCACTTAATTTGTCTTAGTGGCATTGGGAGCAGTATACCTTTTGTCCAATAAGCTTTACTTGCAAATGTTCATTACAAATGGGTCATTGGTCTGGGTCAAGGCCTCTGGTTTCTGGCACTCCATCATCACTGGATCCTCACTGAAACTCCTCTCATATTCCTTGGCTGCTCTGCGTAATAGAGATCCTACAGTCACTTCACAAACTCCAGCAGGACATAGATGGGGTAGATGTTAAGCCTTGATACTCTTGTCTCTGACTCCCTAACAGCTGGGGTAATAGTTGTTCACCAGCATACCTAGCTTGGTTTTTCTTAGTGAAATTATAAAAGGAAAATGAGTGATTTAACAAACTGTGTAAATTTCTAAGGGAATATACTTTAAGTATCTTGGCCATAAAAAAGGAATAAAAGCATATAAGGTGATAAATCTGACAATTACCTGAATTCAGCCAATGTGTGGTATTTATATATTTCATACATCATGTTATATACTATAGGTATATATAATTTTAATGTGCTACTTAGGATTTTTTAATTAAAATTATTTGGAGGTTTTTTTTCCTAATGGACATATAGTTACACTTTTAATAAGAAAATATAATTGGGAAATTCATAATAGGTAAGTTGTCTCTCATGTTACTTATTTAGTAATTTCATATGATGATTCATGATTTGTATTAAGCACATTTTTTTTTTCCATAGATGGATAGTCATACAGACGCTTCAGAAGGTTCATTCGCTGGGAATTACATAGGCCTTGTCAATAGTTATGCTCAGAAGGAAAAGCTGTCTGTAAATTATGAACAGTGTGTCTCCAATACTCAGTCACCCCAAAGGTGAGACATGGTTTGGCTTCTCTTACTGTCTTACTATAAGTGATAAATCTGTAAGTGATAAATCTGAGAGGCTTTTGTATGTAGTTTCTACAAGAATTTGCCCCCTCCCTTTTATCCACTTATGAAATACTTTAAATGGTTCATAACCATCATATGCCTAATTTCTGAGGCTGTGGGGTCCACTGGAATCAAATTTGGCTGATTTTTTTTTCAGTAGTCTTCTTCTTTTCCTTGGTTTTGCTTGGTGAATTTTTGGTTACCTTTAGTCAACAAGACAGTGAGCATGATATAGGAAGCTGTTTCAAGAGGAAGATCTCTTTCCCAAACCTAGAAGTAGAGTATATCACACTAATTGTTCTAGTTTACTATTACTATTGTTAGTGTTTTACTGTACCTTGCTTATGAAGAATGTATAAAAAGAAAAATGCGTATTTCTAGTGTTCATACTAGAACTGTACTGTTCATACAGTTTCAATCATCTGTTGGCTCAAGATGTGTGCGCTGCAGATAAGAGGGCTCTGCTGATTTTTGAAGTGCATATAAATGATGAATCTGCTAAACATTTAAAAGAGTTCACAGTGCATCAGCTTGAGGGATGCAAAGTTCTCCCCTCCTGTAAGCCATGGCCGCTGCAGCTGTCTGACAACTGCTCTAGCCCTGTATGGAAGGAATGCCCCATTTTCAGTTAAGGGGCTGCTTGTCTGAGTGTCTGCTATTCTTCACATTTGAAGAGATAGCGTGGCTCAGCAGGGGTTGTCTTAGCCCTATACTGGAAAGAAAGATGCTGTGAGGAATATGATGTGTGAAGAAGAATTCGAGTCTGGAGGTGCTGAGACTATCATCAGTGAGCTGTCTTCCTGCAGTAGTGTACCCTCATGGCTTACCCCCTGTGAGCCCCATTCTGCCAGCTGGTTTTCTGTCCTATTTGAGCAGGTCTGGAAAATGCTCTGGATCTCCTCTTCCTCTAAATCTTTTTATTTGGGATTGAAAAGATTTTGTTTGTTTGTGTTTATTCAGATATATTGGTGGCCATTTTGTGGGTTTTGAATTATGTGAGGTAGGAAATCTAAATATAGGTAAAAATTATTAATATGATCTTAAGGCCTTTATTTGTCTGTAGGGTTTTTTTTTCAAATTGTACATTAGATTGAACATATTTTTGATATGTAAATGAATACACTCATTTTTTCCTAGATTTTCTTGTAAATGCAAAATTGGACCAAAAACATATGGTATGGGTTCAGGTGCTACCAAACAGGAGGCAAAGCAATTGGCTGCTAAAGAGGCATATCAGAAGCTATCAGAGAAAAGCTCAATGGTATGTGTTGTCAATTAGATTTAATTTGTACATTTACTATTCCTTCTGAAATTGACTTCAGGTTAGATGGCTTGCATGATGCAGGCATTTGCCAATTGCATAATGAATGATTCCTACATTTTGTGTACCACCAATCACCCATGAGTCATGGGATACAAGGTCTCAGGGACTTAAAAGTTCTATGGGGAATTCGGGATTGCTTTTTAAAACTTAGCTCAAGCATCCATGAAGATGTGTTCATTTTGCCATTGTTTGTGACTGTGGACTGGGTGGCTGTGAGGATAATATGTGCAGTAACGAGTGCCCAGTGATGAACTACCATAGAGAAGTAAGATATTTGCCTGTAAGCCTAAGGGTTGCCCCTTCTTTCAGAGAGTTGACAGAACATCCTCTGGTCCTAGCACATCTTCATTCAGTGGCCTCTCCAGCAGCTCCTCTATAGCAAGCAACTTGTGAGTTTGGGTAGCAAATGTGGTGAGTGGGCTGAGGGTGGGCCATGTTTTAGGCGGTGGGTCCAATTCCCATTACCTCCCTTGCCCCAAATTTGGTTTCTAGACCCAAATTTTGTTTCTACCACCTGTAACTCCAGCTCCATTGGATCCAATATCTTCTTCTGGCCTTCTGGGCCACCCACACACACATGGCATTCACTCATATAAGCATACATATACACCTGAATAAAAGTAAAACTTCAAAACAATGAGACTGAATTCATAAAAGTCATGATTTTCTTCTAGTATTTCTCTGTCAGTGCCTGGAAGTGATTTCTCAGAGACTGAATCAAAGAACCACTGTCACAGTTTTTCTTTCGAATATCCTCTTACGGTATGGTATTAGTCTCGAAGCTCTGAATTTCATTTTTTTTTATCTTCACTTAAAAATAACCTTCATTGATGGGCGGTGGTGGAGCATGCCTTTAATCCCAGCACTCAGGAGGCAAAGGCAGGTGGATCTCAGTGAGTTTGAGGCCAACCTGGTCTACAGAGAGAGTTCCAGGACAGCCAAGGCTATACAGAGAAACCCTGTCTCGTACCCCCCAAACCCTTCATTATTTCATAAACTACATTTTAATTTCATGTGTCATTACTAAATTATATTATCAGTTCACTTTTTTCTTTAACTATCATTCATCATATGCAAAATTCTTCCATGCTTCTGTCTTATCCTTCCCCACCTACTTTGTAGACCAAACCTAACTTCCTTCCTTCCTTCCTTTCTTCTTTCCTTCCTTCCTTCCTTCCTCCCTTCTGTCTTTCTCCCCTTCCCTTCCTGCCTACCTCCCTGCTCCCTTCCTATACTGAGAATCAAATCCCAGCCTCGGGTATTTTAGACAAATTCTACCACCGAACTACCTCCCAACCTACCCTTGTCCTTTTTGACATTTCTATTATCTTGTTTTTGTTTTTTTTTTTCTCACCCACCCAACTGAATAATATTTGGTTTAGTTCCACTTCTACTTAAAAACAAAACAAGAACTAAACTTAAAAAATGTGAACTTAATTTGTTATAAAAATCAATCTGTTTACAAAAAACTATAAATCTGTAAGAAAAAGACAATTGATTCAGTAGACTAGACACTGTCTAAAGAGATTTGTGACACCTAAGTTAGCAGCCAATGTAAAAAGATGCCTTATTCCTCTAAGGATGCAGAAAATACAAATCAAAACAGCCATTTGTTACCATTTTCCAGCTGTTCGATTGGCAGTGTTTAGGTCTTGCAATAGTCACTGGTAGAGGACTCAAGGAAACTGTACACATGTATGAAGCTGGTGACCTTACAGATTAAGGAACCAAGTCATAGAGCCAGCCCCAGGACTGAGATGATTGCTCTCCTCATCTGAAATGCCTTTTCTTTCCCTTGTGTTGCAGAATGGTCTCAGAGAAAATAAAAGGAAACCAGGAGTGTGAGTATCATTGCACAATGAACACATGTTGGACTAGGGTTCTCTTTCAGATTTGTCTATCAGCTTCACCTAGTGTTTGGTATTGGCAGAATATTATACCTGTTTATTTCAGGGTATTTCAGAAGCATTGGAAAGCTTGAGACCTATAAATCTAGTCCAAGAGAAACATACACACATGCACACCAGTGTACACATACATGTATACTGTAAATATAAAACCTATGGTGATGCAGCTAGAGATAGTAGCTTAGAGTGTTATTTTGTAAAACACTGTTGAAGATCTGGGCTTGGGAGTGTTTTTAAAAGAAGTGTATTTTTTTTTTTTTGGTAGATGAATAGGGTGAAGATAGTGTAATAACTTGTTATTTTTAAAGACCAAATTTTTATATAAATCATAGGGGAATTGGTTTCTTTCACTGAAAAGTAAAGATACAGTTAGAAATGAAGGCATAGCATCAGGAAACATAATGAACAGTAAATTGAAGAAAATACAACTCCTAAGGTTGATGGGTGGAGAAAAGGAGCCTGCCACATAATCAGGCCCACAGCTCTGATGCCGGTAACAGTGAGGAGGGAAGAGAGGGAACTTGTAAGAAGGATTGTCAAGGCAGGATAGACATCGCTGAAGGAAGAGAGCAGCTGGGTGATGGAAAGGGGGCAGGGAGGGAGACAGCAGATGTTACATTAGTCAAGACCCCTGGCACTGATGGCATTCATCAGGCTGAAGACTCGAAGGTGAAGAGGGAACGTGGCAGTGCTCTGTCTGGTTGGAGGTGATGTTTGAACATCCCACTGCACTTGTTTCATGGCCAGTGACGGATGAGGGCTAGAGGGAGTGATCCAGGTGACTTCATTCCTAAGGACTTTCTGATTCTGGAGAAAGGAGATAGCATGCCAGTGATGAGTCTGTCCAGGTGAAAATGGGAAGCAGGAAAGGGATGAAAAAAGATCAGAAGAAAACCAATGGGAGGTGCTTTCCTGAAGTTGAACACCCATTTCCTGTCATTCTGATAGCTGATGCAAAATATATAATGCCCAGTGCTCAGCATAAAGCCTAGTTACATAGGTTACAGTTTTATCTGAGTTTTGCATTTTTGTCTCAATTTTAGAAAACTGTCACCTAATGATGTGCAAAGAAATAAATATACCATGGACTGCAGGTAAGGGGAGCTTATCTAAAACAAAGTTTCTTTTTTTTGTTTGTTTGTTTTGTTTTTCGAGACAGGATTTCCCATGTAGCTTTGGAGGTTGTCCTGGAACTCGCTCTGTAGACCAGGCTGTCCTGGACCTCACAGAGATCCACCTGCCTCTGCCTCCCAAGTGCTGGGATTAAAGGTGTGAGCCACCAACGCTCCACGAAACTAAGTTTCTTAAGGTTGAGTTCTAAGTTATATTTCCATCCCATCAATTAATAGCTGTGGCATAGTCAGACCCACCGATGGTCAGTATCTCTTGGAGAGGTAAGAATTCTTCCTCTCAAAAAGTTTTGATATGATGACTGGCATTAAAGAAATGGGTCTTGGGAAATGGCTCAGCTGTGCAAACATGAGGGCCTAAGTTTAAATACCAAGTACCCCTATAAAAAGATTGGTGTAGCATTACACACATTTATAACTCAGACACTGGCAGGGGTGGAGGCTTATGCATGGATCCATTGAACTCGTTGGTTAGCTAGCATAACCAATCAGTGAGTTCCAGGACAACCAGGGCTATATGAGAAACTCTATCTCAAAAAATAAAACAAAATAAGAAACAAAGATGGAGAGTCACTGAGGAAGACCTCTGTTATCAACCTCTGGCCTACACACACACACACACACACACACACACACACACACACACGTGCACACCCACATATATACATATACATGTATCTGTAGTTACATGATCTGTATTCACATATTTATATGACATACCTACATCTGGAATTATAAAATAAGGCCAGGGTTAAAGAAGAACAGTAGTGTGATTAAAAAAAAAAAAAAAAAAAAGGAAACAAAGCCTTTTGTGGTCAGCCTTCTGTGGAGAAAGCCTGTGCTTGACATGTAATGACCCGGTGCGATGGGATGAGGTCGGGAGAGAAGTGGGGGAGTGCTGCAGGACGTCTTATAGGGCATTCAGGGGTTTCCTGGCTTTTGCTGAATGCAACTGCAAAGCTGTAGGAGGTTTAGGCGAGATGGACACGATCAGAACAAGCCTTCATAGGGTATAGGTGAAGACCCTGGAAATGAAGAAGAGTGGGTACATGGTAGTGATATGGCTTAGAATGACCAGAGCTTAACGGTGGGATGTGGGGCACAAGGAGGGAAAAAAACGGGTTGTTCTAGCCCCAAGGCTCGGGGCTTCCATTTCCTCTGTGGTCCCCGTGAAACACAACTGAGTGATGCATTCTACATTTAATACTTGGGAGGGAATTTCCTCATCTTCTTTGTACTCACTGGGAAAGGATACTTGTCTTATTTACAGCTGGGGTGGGGTAGGGGAAGCATCTGTTCTATTCAATTCTCTATCAAAGAAGGGAGCGAAAGAGAAGGAGAAAGAGGAAGACTTTTTTTTTTTTTGGTTACTCAAGTTCTACTGGATGTTATTAAAAACAAGAAGGAAAGAAATCATCTTCACTTTACTAAACCTCAGATTAACATCATTATCTATCTTAACCAGGTTTAATGAGGATTTTGAAGACATAGAAGAAATTGGCTCAGGTGGATTTGGCCAAGTTTTCAAAGCAAAACACAGAATTGATGGAAAGACTTATGCTATTAAGCGAGTTAAATATAATTATAAAAACAAACATAACACAGAGTAAGTAAATGTCTGGCTTTTTGTGAACACTATGTTGGACCTCCCCCCCCCCCATTTTTTATGTGTCTATCCTTCCTTCCTTACATATTTATTCTGGTCGCTCCTTAACTTTTCATTGTGCCTACAGGAGTCTGGCTTATTCTGAAATGGCCATACCTTAAAGTGGGTATTTATTTCAGTTTAAAAATATGAAGGCATCATTTGAGATGGTCTTGGCCCCTGAAGCTGTTGACTTATTTAAGGTTGTTTCCTCAATTTTGAGGTTCCTTCCTCTCCGTTTGTGTCAGGTTGACATAACTATCATAATGTCTGAGCTCTTGAGTGCACTCCCTGTAAAGCTATCATAATACCAAGTCTTAGCTTCTTTGCAGTCCCATGATGTATTTTTGTCATACATTGAAAGTTCGAAATTGTGTTCTGCTTGCTGCCTTGGTTACCTGCCTTTGCTGCCCAAATGGGATTTGCTTGTAAAAATCCCAAAATTTCAACACATTCTCTAATCAGAGTATCAAGTATGATTTAGCAACTGAAAATTGTGTCACAGACACTTAAAAGAAGATGTAGATGTAAAGGATGCTTAAATTTTGGATGTCTATCATGTAAGCCACTGTCCTTTTGTGTCGAGAATGAGAAGAGCTGTGGTTCTTCTGTGCATTTGCTTTTATTCCCTTTTGAGTTCTGGCTCTCATGCTAAAATGTGGCATGGGAGCCATGGTGACTGCTGAACAGAGGAGCTGGGTGGTTGCTTCTTGTTCCTGGAGGTGTTTTGTAGTTATCAGGGCTAGGTAACAATGCTATGTTTTCTGGGTCCTTTTAACTAGGAAGGAAGTGCGTGAAGTAAAAGCACTGGCACTACTCAGTCATGTCAATATTGTTCAATACCATTCTTGTTGGCTGGGACAGGACTATGATCCCGAGTACAGCATGGATAACGATGCAAGACGGTAAGAAGAAATTCCCATAGGTGTGATGGGATGGAGGGATTTGACATTATTGGGTGGGGACCACTGGAAGAGGCTGTTGATCATCACATTTAATGATCACAGCAACCTCCCAAAGATACTGTGATCTCTTGTTCTACAGGCAAGGAGGCAAGGAATAATCTTTTCCAGTTCCTCTCTATCTTTCAAACTTGCTTTTAATCTCTTCGTTTAGGCTCACTACATAGCACAAACTGGCCTCAAGGCAGTCTGACCACCTTGGCCCCCAAAAATGTGATCATAGGCACATGCCAGCATGCTTAGCTCAAACTTGCTTTAAGTTTTCTTTTTATTGGAGTGGAGAAATGGATCAGTAGTTACAGCAAGAATTGCTCTTTCAGGGGGCCAAACAAATATGTCAGGTGGCTCACAACCATCTGTAATTTCAATTCCAGGGTGTCCTCTGGCTTCTGTCGAGCACCTGCATTCATGTACACATACCCACAGAAAGACACAGACACATTAATTTGAAAATAAATCTTTAAAAAGAAAAACTGTTAAAAATTTCCTTAGTTGTTTTTTTGTTTTTGTTTTGTTTGTTTGTGGTTTTTGTTTTATTTTGTTTTTGTTTTTCGAGACAGGGTTTCTCTGTGTAGCCTTGGAACCTGCCCTAGAACTAGCTCTTGTAAACCAGGCTGGTCTTGAATTCACAGAGATCAGCATGCCTCTGCCTCCCAAGTGCTGGGATTAAAGATGTGCACCACCACCACCCAGGTTTCCTTAGTTGTTTTAAAAATCCCATGTTCAGCATTACTGATCTCATTGTTCTCCCTAGAGATTATGTGAGGTTTACCAGACAGAGTAAAGACAGGGTTAACATGTAGATGTTAAATCTAAAGGTCTCCTCTTCCACTGAAACTTGCTTATCTTCCTTCTCAGAGGCTACTGGCAGTACACCTCTGGAATGTAGTTTATAGCTATGCCACTGTGGTGGAGTGGTGAGCTAGCACAGGGCACACCCTGCTTGCATCCTAGCTCTTTGTTTTGGCTCACACTCTTCTGTAGGACTGGGAATTCTATAACAAAACAAAAAACTGGTTTATGTTTTTGAAAGTCATCCATATTGTGGTAAATAAGGATCAGGATAAACAAATAGGCCGAATAGATGTTTATTCAGGGAGAAATAACTTACAACCTAGACAGATGAACACCAGGAAATTCAACCCGATCCTTTCCTGTCCGAGTCAAGCCAAAAAGAGAGCACCTTTCCTGGCCCCCTCCGACCTCCTTCCACAGGTCACTTCCGCCCATGGCTCCACCCCCAATGGGCGTGGTCAGTGCCACAGAACTATCTCACTACACATCCAGATTTCTTAGGGACGGTCTTATTACTGAAATGGTGATGCCACTGGAGACATTATCATTCACCAGTATCCCATCTCCTCTATGTGCCATTGAGAACTTTAGGAGTTAGTGACCATCAGTAGATGGTCAGTAGCTATAAGTGAGTTATTGGCTACATCTTCATATTTTCTAGTGTGTGTATTAGGAAAATATAAATTCTATATCGAGCTTATTTAGTTCAGAAGTGTAAATAGAAACTGATTAACAAAATCAGTTCTCTGACTTCTGTCTTAAAGCAGCCACTTTATTGGCACGTCTCTAGGAGTTTCTCAGTGGGCTATCTGTCATTTTAGGATTTTTCCCCCCTCTTGTGAGAGACTGTAATCCCCACGATTTTAAGGTGCCTGTTCCGGGCCCTTTGTAAAACAGATGTTCAGTTAACTGAAGATTAATTACAATGCTTCCAAATTGCTTTATATAATAATGAAAAATCTGGATTTTTTTCAATTAGGACTACTCATCTATTATCAAAAATGATCAGAGACCTCCATTAAAGAATATTTAGGCTCATACTTTAGAGATAAACAATTGAAGCTCTGGATACTTGAGAAATTATGACTTACCATAACATTTATTTTATTTCAAATTTACTATATCCAGATTTCCATTCTGAGACATGTTTCATAAGATATGTTAGAATTTTTTTTTAAAAAATTTCTCTCCATTGCTACAAAAAATTTCTCTCCATTGCTACTTTTTAACATTGTATGAATTTTGCATCCAGATCAAATACCCAGTGCCTTTTTATTCAAATGGAATTCTGTGATAAAGGAACTCTGGAGCAATGGATGACAAATTGCAAGCAGAGGAAAACAGAAGATGATTTGTTTTTGGAATTATCTGAACAAATAACAACAGGGGTGGATTATATACATTCAAAAGGTTTAATTCACAGAGACCTTAAGGTAAGTGGAAATGTGCTTTGTTAGCTGATAAATACAGTTTAATAACTGTATATTTTCTCTAGTTTTCAATTTGTGATTGGCTGATTTCTTTAGTCTGCTAGAACTTACCCCAAATGCCATCCCATGCAATGCTCCAAGTGTAGCTTAGAACATTGTCTCCCCATGTCTACCGCACACAAATATCCTTCTTCCATTACTGACTTTAAGTTCAAATCCAATGACTGAACTTGAACTCATTGCTAATTTCTGCACAGGGCTTCTCAGAAGTGCTTCGATGGGTTCCTCATCTCATTCTTTATTCCTTAGCTATGCCCACTTGTAGTTGTGTGTGTGTCGTGGGGGTGGGGTGTGTGTGTGTGTATAGACCAACACTGTATTGAATATCTAGTTTTTGCAAGAATGGCAAAAATATTAACTTTGCCACCAACAATCTTGTGTTTTCAGTCAGCACTGTCTACAGAGTTATGTAACACTTGTAGCCATTATTTATTTGTTATGATGCACGTGCACACACACACATGCCTGTATATACATATTTGGGCGAATTAGATTGCTCAGTGGGTAAAGATATTTGTTGTATAAGACTAGTTATCTAAGTTCAATACCTGGAACCCACATGAACGTGGAAAGAGAAAGATGATGACACAAATTGCCCTCCACACACACACACACACACACACAAACACAAACACTTATCTTAAATATGCTTAATATTACATCTTAGAATGACTAGAGACGTAGCTCATTTGTTAAATTGATTGGAGCATTCATGGAGCTCTGAATTTGATCACTAGCTGTGTATAAATCAGACCAGGTGGCTCCTCTTAATCCTGGGACTCAGAAGGTGGAAGTAAAAGGATCAAAAGTTCAAGGCCATCCTTGGCTACACACTGAGTTTGAAGCTAGGATGGAATGTGTGAAACCCTGTGAACTACACCAAATAACAACAAAGCAGTATCCTTTAGCCCAAACAACAGCAGCAACCAAAACAAACCCTAAGAAAATGCATAGAGAAGGTGTTCTGTGATAATTATCAGTTTCTACTTAGGAAGAGGAGGGGAAACACTTACTAGAAACTATTGGGAGAATCTGGAGAAATCCTGCATGGGATATCCCTCAGCATTGCTGAGAACTGACCTGTTCAGAGACTCTCAAAATCCGAAGGGGTTTTAATTCCCATCAGACCCTGAATAATACCAGCAGTGTTCCTTCATGGGGATGTTTTGCCCTATTCTGAGATCTAACTCCCATTCTTTGAACCTTTTAGGTTAGGGTGTATAAAAGCAAATATTTTTACTCATGACCACCCTGGGACCCTCTCCTGGGACCCTGCAAAGTGAAACTTTCACTTGACAGCTGTTCTGCTATTTGGAGGCAGGTGTGAACCAAGGCACCTTCACTGTCATTTAAAAGTCTTTTCATCTTTCTTCACTTGGCATTTTAAAGACCCAAGGTATTAAATTCCTTGATTTGGGCTGCCTGTAGAAGGATAAATACCATACAAATCAGTATAAGAGATTGTTGGGACCTGTGGCAATAGTTGGTTCAAATCACATATATTAATTAATTTTTTTCTATAGCCAGGTAATATATTTCTAGTAAATGAAAGACAAATAAAGATTGGAGACTTTGGCCTTGTAACAACCCTGGAAAATGATGGAAATCGAACAGAGAATACGGGAACTCTTCTATACATGAGTCCAGAGCAGGTAAAGTCCTTTTCCTTTTGTTTGGGTGTATTTTACTTCTTTCTTTTCTTTTCTTTTTTCTTTTTCACAATGTAATGAGACACATGTAATTATAGGTTAGAACTGAACATAGAATAGAAACACATGCATTAACCATTTATAAATGAGTTACACTAAAATTGACTGCAATTAGATTGTCTTGCTTTCATTTGTTGTCGTAATTAAGATATGAATGGACTGCTGCCTGATACTTTTCTGATTTGGCACCAAATAAATATTTGTCTGAGCTACAGTAGTTGGTTATTTTATATAACCAAGTCCATTTAAATGAAAACAAACATTTATAGACAATATTTTGGAAGTTTGGAGTTGTTCTTTCCAAACTACTTCCTGCTGGTAAGGGTGCTGTCATGGGGGATTGGAAGAAGATGTAGAAATCCTGGCTGTGGTCTGTAAGTCTGCTTTGTCCAGCTGTTTTGAATGTAGGATCACCTGGTACTCTGTTTCAGGCAATCTGGCTTGATCAAACCACATTAGTCTGGAAGGAATCCACATCTTTTCATTTTCTGTGGAAACAAAAATAGAAATCCTTTTCCCCAGTAACTTGTCCTTGAACTTAAAGTTTGGAGTCAAAGCATTTTTTTTTTTAAATTTAATTTATTATTTTACATGTCGATCCCAGTTCCCTCTCTCTCCCTCCCTCCCTCCCCCCCATTCATCCCTCCCTCCCTCCTTTACCCTCTCTGCCCTCTCACATGCACTCTTACCACCCTCTCAACCCCCCACCCCAATTCCATATGTAGGGGAATGTCATCCAGTAGGGGTCATGTAGGTCTGACAGGTCATGTGAAGTAGGGACTAGGGCTTCTCTCCTGACTCTAGATTAAGGCAGTTATCCCTCCATGGGGGATGTGTTCGCAAGGTCCTTTAGTGCACCAGGGATACATCCTGGTTCCACTGTCTGAGGTCCCTTAGACTGCTCAGTCCTTCTGGCTGAGACCCATATTCAGGGGGGCCTGAGTTAGTCCCATGCTGGCTTCCCAGCTATCAGTCTGGGGGGCCCGTTAGCTCTTCCTTGTTCAGGTAAGCTGTCTCTATGTGTTTGTGCCGCCTGGTCTTGTCCTCTCCCCCTGCATCTGAGTTCTAGTTCGACTCAGTGTTTATTTATGGGTGTTTGCTCCTGTTTCCACAAGGCATTAGTTGAGGGCTCCATGGATAAGTTAGTTGTTGATCTCACTCTCCGGGAAGGGCATTTCTGATAGCCTTTCCACGGAAGCTCAAATTGTTAGTTGGCAGCAGTCTTGTAGTTCTCTAGACCTTTCTTTGTGTTCAATTTTATCTTCAAACCAATATTGGCTCCCTCTTGTATGTTCTCTCTCTCTCTCTCCCTCTCTCTCTCTCCCTCTCTCTCTCTCATCTTCTATTCCTAACTGGGCTCAATCTTCCTAGTCACATGTGTTTTCCTTTCCTCCCCCTCGTTTTCTCCTACTACTCTCTCCATTCCCTGCCCCCCCCACCACTTCCCCTGAGCTCTGGGGGACTTGTCCATTACCAGTTCTGTGAGGCACTTTATATGAATCTCTTAGAATACACCTTGTATCCTAGTTCCTCTGGTGGTTTGAATTATAGGCTGGTGATCCTTTGCTCTATGTCTAAAATCCATGTATGAGAGAGTACATACTGTGTTCCTTTTTTTTGTGACTGGGTTACCTCATTCAGGATGGTTTCTTCAAGTGCCATCCACTTGCTTCCGAATTTCAAGATACCATTATTTTTTTCTGCAAAGTAGTATTCCATTGTGTAGATGTGCCACATCTTCATTAACCATTCTTCAATTAAGGGGCATCTAGGTTGCTTTCAGGTTATTGCTGTTACAAATAGTGCTGCTATGAACATAGTTGAACAGATGTCTTTGTTGCATGGATGTGAATCCTTTGGGTATGTGCCTAAGAGGGGGATTGTCGGGTCCTGTGGTAAACTAATTCCCATTTTCCTGAGGAACCGCCATACTTATCTCCAAAATGGCTGTATGAGTTTGCAATCCCGTCAACAGTGGAGGAGAGTTCCCCTTTCTCCACATCCTCTCCAACAAGAGTCATCATTGTTGTTTTCTAATTTTAGCCATTCTGGCAGGAGTAAGATGGTATCTCAAAGTTGTTTTGATTTGCATTTCCCTGATAGCTAGAGATGTGGAGCATTTTCTTAAGGGTCTTTCAGCCTTTTTGATTTCTTCTATTGAGAATTCTTTCTTCAGTTTTGTACCCCATTTTTTAATAGGGTTATTTGGTGTTGTGTTGACTAGTTTCTTGAATTCTTTGTATATTTTGGAGATCAGCCCTTTGTCGGATATAGGCTTGGTGAAAATCTTTTCCCAGTCTGTGGGCTGCCGTTTGGTCTTGTCCACTGTGTCCTTTGCCTTACAGAAGCTTCTAAGTTTGAAGAGGTCCCATTTATTAATTGTTTCTCTCAGTGTCTGTGCCCCTGGGGTTATGTTCAGGAAGCAGTCTCTTATACCAATTTGTTCAAGGGTACCAACTACTTTCTCTTCTAAGAGGTTCAATGTGGCTGGATTGATGTTGAGGTCTTTGATCCATTTGGAATTGAGTTTTGTGCATGGTGACAGACATGGGTCTATCTGCAGTCTTCTACACACCCTCATCCAATTATGCCAGCACCATTTGTTGAAGATTCTGTCCTTGACCCATTGTATAATTTTAGCTGCTTTGTCAAAAATCAGGTGTTCATAGGTGTGTGGGTTAATATCAGGATTTTCAATTCGATTCTATTGGACTACCTGTCTACTTTTGTGCCAATACCAGGCTGTTTTCAGAACTATAGCTCTGTAGTAGAGCTTAAAGTCAGGAATGTGATGCCTCCTGAAGTTCTTTTATTGTATAGGGTTGTTTTGGCTATCCTGGGTCTTTTGTTTTTCCATATGATGTTGATTATTATCCTTTCAAGGTCGGTGAAGAATTGTGGGATTTTAATGGGGATTGCATTGAATCTCTGTAAGTTGCTTTTGGCAAGATTGCCATTTTTACTATGTTTATCCTACCTATCCAAGAGCATGGGAGATCTTTCCATTTTCTGATATCTTCTTTAATTTCTTTCTTTAGAGCCACAAAGTTCTTATTATATAGGTCTTTTACTTCTTTGGTAAGTGTTACACCAAGATACTTTATGTTGCTTGTGGCTGTTGTAAAGGGTGATGTTTCTCTGATTTCTTTCTCTGTCTCTTTGTCGTCTGAAAAAAGTAGGGCTACTGATTTTTTTGAGTTTATCTTGTATCCTGCTAGTTTGCTGAAGGTGTTTATCAGCTGTAGGAGTTCCCTGGTAGAGTTTATTGGGTCGCTTATGTAAACTATCATATCATCTGCAAATAGAGACAGTTTGACTTCTTCCTTTCCAATTTGGATCCCCTTGATCTCCTTTTGTTGTCTTATAGCATTAGCTAGAACTTCTAGTACGATATTGAAGAGATGTGGAGAGAGAGGGCAGCCTTGTCTTGTTCCTGATTTTAGAGGAATTGGCTTAAGTTTCTCTCCATTCAGTTTGATGTTGGCAGTTGGTTTGCTGTATATTGCTCTTATTATGTTTACGTATGTTCCTGTTATCCCTGACCTCTCCAAGACCTTTATCATGAAAGGGTGTTGAATTTTGTCGAAGGCTTTTTCAGCATCTAGGGAGATAATCATATGGTTTTTCTTTTTCAGTTTGTTTATATGGTGGATCACGTTGATAGATTTTTGTATGTTAAACCATCCCTGCATTCCAGGGATGAAGCCTACTTGGTCATGGTGGATGATTTCTCTGATGTATTCTTGAATTCAGTTTGCCAGTATTTTATTGAGTATTTTTGCATCGATGCTCATCAGGGATATTGGTCTGTAGTTTTCTTTCTTAGTTTTGTCTTTGTGAGGCTTGGGTACCAAGGTTATTGTGGCCTCATAAAAAGAATTTGGCAATGAACCTTCTGTTTCTATCTTGTGGAACGGTTTGAGGAGTAGTGGTATTAGTGCTTCCTTGAATGTCTGGTAGAATTCTGCATTGAATCCATCTGGCCCTGGACTTTTTTTGGTTGGAAGGCTTTCGATGACTGCTTCTATTTCATTGCGGGTTATAGGTCTATTTAAGTTGTTTGTCTGTTCTTGATTTAATTTTGGTAAGTGATAGTTATCCAGAAACTTGTCTATTTCCTTTGAATTTTCAGTTTTTGTGGAATACAGATTTTCAAAGTATGACCTGAAAATTTTCTGGATTTCCTCTGTGTCTTTTGTTATGTTCCCCTTTTCGTTTCTGATTTTGTTAATTTGCATGTTCTCTTTCTGCTTTTTCATTAACTTGGACAAAGGTTTGTCTATCTTGTTGATTTTCTCAAAAAAAACCCAACTCTTTGTTGCATTGACTTTTTGTATTGTTTTCCTTGTTTCTATTTTGTTGATTTCAGCCCTCAAGTTGATTATTTCCTGGCATCTACTCCTATGGGGTGAGTTTGCTTCAGTTGCACTGTTAATTCTCTTATGTGACTATCCTCTGTTTTCTTCATATGGGCACTTCCCTCGTAGCACTGCTTTCAAGGTGTCCCATAAGTTCGGGTATGTTGTATCCTCATTCTCGTTGAATATTAGAAAGTCCTTAATTTCTTTCTTCATTTCTTCTTTGACCTAGGAGTGGTGCAATTGCACATTGTTCAGTTTCCATGAGTTTGCAGGTTTTCTGCTATTTGTGTTGTTGTTGATTTCCAATTTTAAAGCATGGTGGTCTGATAAGATACAGGGGACTATTCCTATTCTCTTGTATCTGTTGAGGTTTGTTATGTCACCTAGTATGTGGTCGATTTTAGAGAAAGTTCCATGTGGAGCAGAGAAGAAGGTACATTCTTTTGTCTTTGGATGGAATGTTCTATAGATATCTGTTAACCCCAGTTGAGACATAACTTCTGTTAGTTCTTTTGTTTCTTTGTTAAGTTTCTGATTTGTGGTCTTGTCTAGTGTTGAGAGTGGTGTATTGAAGTCTCCCACTATAAGTGTGTGAGGGTTTATATGAGCTTTGAGTTTTAGGAGTGTTTCTTTTATGAATGTGGGTGACTTTGTATTAGGGGCATAGATGTTCAGAACTGAGACTTTGTGTTGATGGATTTCTCCTGCAATGAATATGAAATGACCATCTTCATCTCTTTTAATTTTAGTTTGAAGTCTAACTTGTTAGATATTGGGATAGCTATGCCTGCTTGCTTCTTATTTCCATTTGATTGGAAAATCTTTTCCCAACCCTTTACCCTGAGGTATTGTCTATCTTTGAAGCTTAGATGTGTTTCTTGTCTGCAGCAGAAGGATGGATTCTGTTTTCGTATCCATTCTGTTAGCCTGTGTCTTTTTATAGGTGAGTTAAGACCATTAATGTTGAGGGTAAGGACCATTGATTGTTGATGCTTGTTTGATTTAGGTTTGTTGTTGGCAGTGGTATTGTGAATATATTAGTTCTGCTTTATCCTTGGTTTCTGGTGTAGTTGGATTATCTGTTGCCTACATTTTTGTGGGCGTAGTTACCTTCCTTGGGTTGGAGTTTTCCTTCCAATACTTTCTGTAGGGCTGGATTTGTAGATACGTATTGGGAAAATCTGGTTTTGTCATTAAGTATCTTGTTCTCTCCATCTATAGTGATTGAGAGTTTTGCTGGATATAGTAGCCTAGGTTGGCATCCGTGTTCTCTTAGTACTTGTAGAACATCTATCCAGGACCTTCTGGCCTTGAGGGTTTCCATGGAGAAGTCAGGTGTAATTTTGATAGGTCTGCCTTTATATGTTACCTGTCCTTTTTCCTTCGCTGTTCTTAATATTCTTTCTTTATTCTGTATGCTAGGTGTTTTGATTATTATATGTCAAGGGGTCTTTTTTTTTTTTTATTTGGTCCAGCCTATTTGGGATTCGGTGTGTTTCTTGTACTTTCATGGGCATGTTCTTCTTCAGATTTGGAAAGTTTTCCTCAATGATTTTGTTGAATATGTTTTTGGCACCTTTGAGCTGGGCTTCCTCACCTTCCTCTATGCCTATTATTCTTAGGTTTGGCCTTTTCATGGTGTTCCACATTTCCTGGATGTTTTGTGTTAAGGATTTGTTGGATTTATGATTTTCTTTGGTCAATGAATCTATTTCTTCTAGTTCATCTTCTGCGCCTGAGATTCTCTCTTCCATGTCTTGAATTCTGTTGGTTATGCTTTTGTCTGTAGTTGCCGATTTTTTGCCCAGCTTTTCAATTTCCAGCATTCCTTCAGTTTGTGTTGCCTTTATTTTCTCTATTTCAGTTTTCAAGTCTTGAACCATTTCCTTCACCTGCTTAATTGTTTCTTCTTGGATTTCTGTACTTTCCTTAAGGAATTTGTTCATTTCTTTCCCTTTTTTGTTTGTTTTTTCCTCCATTTCTTTAAAGGATTTTCTCACATCTTCTTTGACGGCCTCTATCATTTTTTTTGATTGTAATTTTTAAGTCATTCCCTTCTGCTTCCTCTACTTTGTTGTTGTGTTCCGTTCTAGTTGGTGTAGATTCCCTAGATTGTGGTGGTGTCATGCTTGTCTTTCTGTTGTTAGGTGTTTTCTTGTAATGCTATCTTCCCATAGCTTCTTCCAGTAGGTGTTGGTGGGGTCTCCCCTTCTCTCTATGGTACTTCCCCGCTGGGCTTATCTGGGTCTGAGATTCAATATCTGTAGCTCTGTGTGGTCCAAGCACTCTAGGAGGTTTCTCCTCAGACAGGGACCCAGGGATGGGGTCAAGGATGAAGATCCAGTAGAAGATGCCATCAGGTACTCACATTAGTCCTGCAGAGATAGGTGGATCTCTTGGAGGGGCCCGGGACTCCAGCAGAGTACTGGAGGTGGGGTCAGAGACCAAGCAGTTGGAAATTATGGGTGGTCCCGCGTGGATAGTCAGGTCTCCTTTGTTCAGAGTTGCTAGGAGAAGTCTCCGAAGTAGGGTGGACTGTTGGCTCCACCCTGTGTCCCAGTACTCAACCAGAGTGGCGGGACCGTGGGTAGGGTAGGGCACAGGGTAGGGGGGTCAGGCTCGCGGTGAGGATGGGAGGGGGTGTATCAGAGCTCCAAGGGTGCTCTCGATGGGGACAGGAGACAGCTACTTCTTTATTTTCTTTGTGTTGGTGTGTGTGTGCATGTGATGCATGTACAAATTCATGTAGGCATGTATATATGTGTGTGTTCTTTGTGTGTTTGGACATGAACATACAGAGGCCAGAGGTTGTGTAAGTATCTTTCCGGTAGGTCTCCAATATACATACATGTATGTAGTTATGTATGTGTGTCATATATAGAATATATACCACATATATATGACTTACATACTTATATACAATGCATATATACACTATATGTATATACACCACAGATACCACACATATACAATACATTCCATGTATGTATATCATGTATATACCATATACATATATACATATATGTATTTGTATATATGTATATGTATATTGAATGTATGAGTGTTTTGCATACAGTCCCCACAGAGACCAGAAATGGTGTTAGATCCTCTAGGACTGGAATATCAGATGGTTGTGAGTGAACTGAACCCAAGTCCTTTGCAAGAGCAGCCAGTACTCTTAACAGCTGAGCCATCTATTCTCTTGCAGCCCATATAAAAGTTTAAATCAATATTTATTCATTTTGTGTAAGGTGAGAGGGGGAAACAGGCACTTGCTGTGCATGAGGAGGTTCCAGGGATGGAACTCAGGTCAGCAAACTTGGAGGCATAACTGTTACCTGCTGAACTACCTCACAGGCCCTCCACATTATACATTTTTCAAGACAGGGTTACTCTGTGTAGCTTTGTAGATCAGGCTGTCCCTGAACTCACAGATCCTCCTGCCTCACTCTGTAGACCAGGCTGACTGCAAACTTAGAGATCCTCCTGCCTGTGTCTCCCAAGTGCTGGGATCAAAGGTGTGTACCACCACTCCCATTGTCAGTAATATTTTGAAGCTGTCATTAGTAAGACTGATTGATTCTCTTAGTACATTTGTTATTAGAACATAGAAAACATACTGATTTTTTTTAAAAAAAGATTGACTTAATGTGTATGAGTTTTCATGTGTGTGTGTGTGTGTGTGTGTGTGTGTGTGTGTACCATGTGCATGCCTGGTACCCATAGAAGTCAGAAGAGCATGTCAAAGCAAAGGCAGGTATGAATCACCATACAGGTTCTGGGGACTGAATTCAGGTTCTTTGCTAATGATGAGAGTACTTGAAATAGCTGAGTGACCTCTCCCAGCCCCCAAATTACAGAGTTTTGAATGCTGACTTTGTATCCACTTATGTTTTTGGTAGAATCTTTAGAATCTCTTATGTATAGGATTGTATTGTCTACAAATGGGGATTGGGCCCTTTTCCTATTTAAGTGTTTTATATATTTCTCTTGTCTAGCTATGAGTCCCATTGTCTCACACTTAATTTTGGTAGAAATGCTCCCAGTGTTATCATCTAGTAAAAAGTTGGTTGTAGATTTGTTTTATATAGCTTTATTGTGTTTCTTCATTTATATGTGTTGGTTAATCTTAGTGTCAACTTCATGAGATATAAAATAAATGGATATTTTGATGTAACATATTTGATATAATATATAAAGTACATAATATATATTTTATGATATATATACATATGTATGTATATATAAATTTGTAGCTACTTTTTCCTCAAAAGGCATATAGACAAATACTTGGTGAGTAACAAAGACAAATGTATTTGCCTTCCAGTTATCATTACAGGAATATGGAAAAGAAGTGGACTTCTTTGCTCTAGGACTTATTCTAGCTGAACTTCTTCACATATGCTTCACTGTTTCAGAAAAAACCAAGGTAAATATCCCAAGAAAGAAGCAAACTAAAAGCCTCGTTGTGGTACTTCAAGCTGTACTGCTATTGCCATTGGGTGAGGGTGTGTTTCACTGCATTACTTCTGGTTGTAAGTGAAATATATATTCTCTTTCAAGTGTTGACAACCATTTTGTTACAGATTAAGAACTTTGGCTTTCTGAAGAACATGTGTATATCCCATAAGATTTCTATTTGAGTGTGCCAATAAAATTTCACTGATTAGAGGGCAGTTTCTGTTCTTAAGTGCATGGATATAAAAATAAACCAGTTTCTCAAGGGATTCATTTTCTAAGAGGAAAGATAACAACAGAGAATGACTAAAGTTTTAGAAGACAGAAAGTCTGTGGAAGCAGCTAAAAGGTCTTTCCAGAAGTCTGGATTTAGCTTTCACAGAGACATATAAGTGGTACTGATGGGTCAGTTTTTTTTTTTTCCTTTCAGATTACTCATTTAAGGTCATATGCACACACACACACACACACACACACACACACACACACACACACAACTTGTCCACATGCTATGGCATGCTTATGGAGGTCAGAAGACAGCTAACCTGGGTTAGTTCATTCTAATAGTTTGAAATAGAAAGGATGGAACCCCAACATGGAGATATGAATGTGCAGTGTGTTGGGAATAGCAGGCAGTGTGGTTTTACCTGAAGCTGATGATTGATGGGGCTGGAAAGACAGGTTGAGGCTAGACTGAGGGAAGAGTTTGGGCTTTGTTATATAGGTGGGTAGGTGGTGGGAACCACTAGAGACAGACCTGATACCCTAGTTGGAAGCTCAGAAAAGTTGTTTGCCTGGAGTCAACAGCCTTATCTTCTCTGAAATATGAATGATGAAAAGATGTACTGCCTAGCATTCCAAAACAGGAAGGAAAAGCTGGATCTCATGCAATTAGCACTGAATCTTAAGGATGGTTATAAGATTGGGGTAGGATTAGGGATGGGGGGGGATTTGCTTGCTTCTTGACTAAAGAGTCCTACATTTAAGAAATATTCTAGATTTAGTGTATCCCCAGCTGTTAGTATATTTTGTTTTTCTTCCTATATAAATCACTTCCTAGTAAATACATCTATTTGTTGTATTTCAGTTTTTCAAAAACCTAAGAAATGGCATCTTCCCTGATGATATATCTGACAGCAAGGTAGTAAGCATTTGAAAGTCATCAGTTTGATTTTCTCCATTGTTTTCTTTCTTAGTACTGACTCTTAACTATAATTACAGAAAAGCCTTCTAATGAAATTACTCTCGGAGAAGCCCAAGGAACGACCTAATACTTGTGAGATTCTGAAGACCTTGGCTGAATGGAAGAATATTCAGAGATAAAGAAAAGACACACACATTAGGGCCTTCCTGAAAAAGTGCTCCACTTTGTCTATGTCGTCTTCCTGTATTTGCCTAAAATCTGAGATGGAGCATTGGGGGATATTGGTGTTTTTTTTTTTTTTTTTTTTTCCCTTTTCCTTAAGTTTTTATGAAAGGTAAGGAAAGAAAAAACTTCTTGGATACAGGTTTTCTGTCTTACTTTCTCTCTCTTCCTTGTTTTTCTTTTTTCATTTTTGTTGTTACTCCAAAAGTTTTAGAAAACAAGCACCTTCAAAGACAAGGTGGATACAAAGTCGCTGGAATTGTTAAAGAGATTATTAGTGCTGTTAAAGAGGAACCATGAACTTTACACTGCTGATGTTATAGGAACAAGACTGCACCCATGGAAGGCTAGAGTGTGAAAATGAAAAACATCTGAAGGCCTTTCATGTCAAAAGTTCAAGCAGGAATAGACTACCTAGGGGAGCATCTTTCTGTTTCAACTGCTCAGGAGCTCAGAGAATGCTATAGCCATAGCCTGAGGGGCTCACTTACATTTCAAGACATCGACAGGACTTGGCACCATCAATATGATGCCGGTTTTGCAGGAAAGTAGAAGGTAAAGGTCATGGGGTCAGAGATTCTTGTCCCATGGTTCCAGAACAAGCCTGTGAGGACAATGTGTAATAATGTGGACAGATTCCTTCAGAAAGGCTGAGAGGCTGCTGTATGAAGCTATGAAGGTGAAACCTCAGTTTTAACAGAGACCCCCAGGATGTTGGAGATGACCAGAACATAGAATATCAGTGGTCACTGATTGGAGCCATCCCCAGAGAAAGTCCATGAATGCTTCAGGCAGCCTGGCTGTAGAAAGCCTACTGGTGCTCGGATGACGCCACTGTATATTCCAGATACTGGACTCTGAGATGTAGCTTTTGTTTGCCCTGCTTGGATTTAGTCTTGTACTGGACCAGTTTTTCCTTGCTTTTTAGAATGGGGACATTTATTTTGCACCTTTGTATGCTGTACCTTTTGTTTTTATAGGGACTTGGAGCTAAGAATTTTCCCTTTGCTTCCCAAAGCACTTTGGACTTTTGAATGGTGTTGATTATTCAGACTTTGGGAATTTCTGAGGTGGGACTGAATGTATTTTGCATTATGAGCCAACAGGGCCTCATACACACCCCAACCACCATGAACTGAGGCATCTGCCAAATCTTTCCTGCCATAAAGGATGCTATTATGTAAAATCAAGCCAAAATAAATCTCTTCTTCCATTGCACCTGTTGTTTTAGTGATATAGAAGTAGCTAACATACTGTTTATAGAAGTCATAGGAACAAGAAGCACCCATAATGACTTCAAAGAGAATGGATTTAAATTTTTATGTATTGGAGAATGAAAAGTTAAATGTAGTAACAGTGTATTAAAAACATAGTTTTAAGTAAACACGTTTTTAAAAATGTTTACAGAAGGAAAGCATTCATATAACATTCCAGAACATATAATAAATAAACAAGATCATTAAAAATTTTTTTTAGGATGCTCAACAAATATGGTGAAATGGAAAAGTAAGACAAAAGAGGAAGGATGACTGAGAGGAGGGGAGGGGATTGTGAGGCTGGTAAGGAAGATTCTCAACTAGTCTTTTTATCTTAAGTGCTTTCTGTATCTATTATAACAAAGCCTTGAAGAAGGACAGCTGTGCTGTTGGCAGTGGCTAGGCACAGGACTGCCATCCGGACAGGCAAGATCACTTCCTATAGAACAGAGGGCTTGGAAATTAAGAGAATTCCTGGAATGTGAAAGATTTGGAAGAATAGAAAGAACATCTGGGCAAGGTGAGAGACAAGCAGAGCACAAACTGGAAAAGAATCCACACAGGGAACACTAGGCATATTTTAGCCCCAAACGGTAGCAGGGAATGCTGGAAGATAATGTGGGCTGCAACCTTGCAGTTTTTTATGGGTCTCCATCTAAACTTTTGAGCAGTGAATCACCATTACAAAACTGTGATGTCATTTTATAATTTTTAAAGTGAGCCAAATGGGGCATTGTAATGAGTAGGGTTTTTCTGCCTGCTGCCTGGCCTTGTCCAGCCGCCGCACCAGCCCCAAATAATGCACAGAGACTCTGTATTTGATATAATCCTGTTGGCCCGGTTACTTGTTTCTTATCAGCTAGCTCTGCCTTAATTATTAACCCATTTCTGCTGATCTATGTATTTCTCTTACTGGGGAGCCGGCCGGCATACTGCTTTCTCCCGACTCTCCATCTTGGCTCCTCCTTACCACTTCCTCTTTCCTTCTTGTCTCCTAGTCCCGCCTATCTTCCTTTCCTATTGGCCAACAGTGCTTTATTCATTAACCAGTATGAGAAACATATACAGAATGACATCTCCCATCATCGCATACCAGGGGATGAGGAGCTGTAAGAGAAGTACTTTGTAAAGGCCTGTAGCCTTTCTTTAAGTACTCATAAAATGCATTTGTTATGTTTGCTGACTCTTGAGTTTTGCAAAGCAAGGTTCATCATTGGATGCTAAAACTACAGAGCGAAAAGGAGATGGGAAGAGAACATCCACGAGTTTACAAAGGCGACCATATACTTCTATGATGAAAATATATGTATCATCACAATAACAATGTGACTCTCTCATACTCAAAGTGGAGAACCTAATGATGTACAGTTCCAATGTCATATCAGAATTAGTTTTGCCCCAAATTTATAACTGAAGTATAATCATGAGGTAATAATTAGGCAAATCCTAATAGATAATTTGTTTTCTTTAAAAAGACAATTTAATTCAAATAAAAATTGGAAGAACTATTCTTTTTAAGAAATAACTTATTTGTGTGTTCATGTCTTTGTGAGTGCAGTTACAGAAGAGACCAAATGAGGGCATCGGATCTCCTGGAGCTGGAGTTACAGAGGAAGAAGAAAGTATCTGTGATGTTAGCCATTAGCAAATATAGGTGAAGATTTATATGTATTTGGCTTATTATTTACATTTTTTTCTCTAGGTGGAATGAAATCCCTTTAAAAACATGCTAATATTACCTAAAAAATGAAGCTATATTTAAGAATACCAAATAATGTGGCCAGAAAGAGTGTAGCATTTTATTCTTCCCCTACTGATATTTTTACACTATATTATCTATTTAACTATATTATCTCTTAGTATCTTTTACTTACTTCTGAGGATTTGCTTTCTCAGTCTCCAAAAAACAACAACAAAAACAAAACAAAACAAAATAAAAAGTACCTTTAAAATCATAGCAACAGTGGGGCAATGTAGGACCTTGCTTGCTAATTCCAGGTTCAGTTTAAAAAAACAATTCTTTACCTAGTTGCTTTACTACAAACAGTTTTACCACACACCAAATACACACCAGACTTGCATGGTTAGAATTTCCTATGCTTAGAACTACTGAGTTTTAGAGCAGTTGCCTCCTTACAGCTTTGTGTATGAAACCAAACTTAGTGCTACTGTAGTGTCCCATGGTCTCCCCTAGGTCTCCCACTGTTTGGTGTTGCACTGTGCTGACAAGTTTGTGTTCACTCTGTCATCCCTTTGATATATACTCTTGGAATTTATGAAGAAAAGTGGATAATCAGGAACTGTCCTCAATCAGTTGAAATAACCCCACTAGAGGAGGACACTGAACATATACATTTTGAGAAAACACCTATGACTTTTGATTCTGACTCTAGACATGATCCAGTAGTATGGAATCCTAAGACTTCTCAATTCCTTCCTTCCTGCAGAGAAGCATTTTATTTGACAGAGGCTACTGAGGTACAGACAGAGCATGTGTGGCTCAGCCTGTGGTGTGTTCTTGGAGAACTAACATCTATTTACTCTGAAAAGCAAACCAGGATAAGCTATTTCTTCAAGACATTGCTCCTAGAACACAAGGTGGGCCCTTCCTCCTCAGGCAAAGGACAGGCATGCAGTTTCTCCAAATAAGAATTATAGAGAGCCTGGTTAGAGAAAGTAGCCTTGCTTTGTAGTTCAGATTCATGCTGACATGCTTAATTTGTGGTGCTGGTGACTGAACTCAGGGCCTTGTCCAGGCTTGGCAGGTATTCTACCATCAAGGTATACCTCAAGTCCTAAAGCAGACAATTGACTTCCTGATTCTCATGATGCCTTATTTTTCTCAGTTTGTCCCAGGTAAAGAAGGGGATGAAGTGTGTTACCTGCTGGTATGCTTCTACAAGTACCATACTAGCATGAATCACAGCTGTCCATGTCTATGATACTTGTATTTAGAAGTGACAGTAACTTTTTTCCAAGCCAGTGAGAAATTCATCCAAAGTAGAGCATATTTCTAAAAGAATAAAGCATTATATAAAGGCCTTCTTTTTTCACCTGCACAAACCGTTTTTACTTTATTGGCAATAATTTCAGTCATGATCTGCAGAGGTTGGTCCTGGGCAATTTGAAGATAGGTCTTCTTTATCTATAATTTATATGGGAGAAATAAAAGGTAAATACAAGCTTAGAGTAAAAATTTAGAAAAATGAATGTAGTACTTTAAACAGTCTCATTTGTTATTTATTCTACAAAGCAAATGAGGAAAAGATTAAAATAATATTAAAAAGAGGCTAGGGGATGGGGACATGGCTCAATGGTTCAGAGCACTGGCTGCTCTTCTAGAGGACCTGGGTTCTATTTCAGCACTCACAGGTGGCTCACAACTGTCTAAGTCCAGGACCAGAGGATTTAATGCCTTCTTCTGGTCCCCATGAACACTGAGTGTATGAGGTGCATGGACATACACATGGACACAGTACCCATACACAAAAATAAAAATTAAAGAGACTAATAACAACAACAACAAAAAAAAACCTTCATTCACAAAGTCCTTAATTACAAGTTAATCAAACAAGAGAGTAGATTTTAATGATTTAGGACAAGTCTAACTAAATAGAAATTAGTTATAAAATTTTAGTGCAAGTATCATTCAAAGAATGAATCTTCAAAAATAAAGCATGAAAGAAATAATTATCTTCAAGTTATTTTTGGTTCTCTCTCTTTTTTTAATGGGGATAGGGTTGAGACAGGGTCTCATTAATTAGCCCTGGCTGGGCTGGAACTTGCTAAGTAGGCCAGAGAGCTGCTGTCATAGCACTCACATACAAAGTTTGAACACACAAATAAAAAATAAATAAGTCTTTCTTTCTCTTCGGGTTTTTATCGAGACTGGGTTTCTCTGTGTGGCTCTAGCCATCCTGAACTCGCTATGTAGACCAGGCTGGCCTTGAACTCAGAGATCCACCTGCCTCTGCCTCTTGAGGGTAGGGATTAAAGGTGTGTGCCACCATGCCTAGCTTTTTAAAGTTACTCTTTAGACTTAAAATTATTTGAGTAATAAAATGGTGAAAATTCCCTCTTGCACATTTAGTTGCTAAAAAATTAAATGCTAAATTCTAATAACAACTCTATTTCTATAGTCACTATTTCTTTAGACACTGGTCCTACATGTCTATTTGAATGGAATAAGACATGTGAGCTTTATTAAAAATAAGCAAGTATTCATGGGCAGTATTTGTAAAACATAAATCATCTTCTCACCTTCATAGGCTGTCCCACACCAAATGCAATATAAATGCTCTTCTCGCAAGTAGCCAGTGAGTATCTGCAGTTTTTCCAGCACCTGATAGAGGACACAGGTGCATCAATCAGAATCTTGGTTCCAGGACCAAGTTCAGTTTCTTAGGCCCAGGCTTGAACCCTTCTGGTACACTCACAAACAGTGACTCAAGGTGTCAGAGCAGAGGTGATTATAAGCACATGTCTCAGCTGACTAACACTTGTCCACAAGAGACAACTGGTAGACAAAAAAAAAAAAAAAAAAAAAAAAAAAAAAAAAAAAAAAAAAAAAAAAAAAAAAAAAAAAAAAAAAAAAAAAAAAACCAAAAAAAACAACAACAACAAAAAAAAAAAAACCATCTTTTGGCTGGCTCTGAGATCAAGTTTTGTTGTTTTTGATAAAAGACAGTGCCTCATTATGTATTCTTGGTCTGGAATTTGCTATGTAGATCAGGCTGGCTTTGAACTTACAGAGACCTGCCTGCCGAATGCTGGCATTAGGTGTACACCATCATACCCAGCAGGAACATAAATTTTGAGTGGCAGGCAGATCATGGGACATGGAGCAGTGATAATTAGGATTCAAAAAGACCTCTCTTACTTTCAAGAAATCTGTCTCTCAGGTGAAGGGAGGGGAGACTGTGTCCTTCGGTCATACTCAACAGCTTGCTGTAGTCATACATGTGTGCTTAAAGCAGTGATTGTTGCCCAGCAAAGTTCCATAAGCAAGAACTATAGGAATATTATCACCCTTTCTTGAAAATTCACACTTTAAAAATTAACTGTGCATATGTGTTTATGCATCTCAGGTACTTGCCAGTGTGTGTAGAGGAAAATCTGGGAGATCAGCGCTCTCCTTGCACTGTCAGTCCCAGGGACTGAACTTGGGTTGTCAGGCTTGGCAGCAAGTGCCTTCACATGAGCCATCTTTGTCTATGCTGTGCTTCCTTCTGATTTTATTTTCTGTTTGTTTTATTTTGTGAATGGACGAGGTACACACTAGGATCACTTTTAAAATTTAACAGAAAACAAAGTCAACTGCAATCATTTGTAGCTAATCTGTCATTTTTAGTAAATAAATTAAAGCTAAATGGAAAAAAATATTATAAAATTTTTAGTTTTGGGTTAGTAAAACATTCCTGGAAACCAACAGCTCTCTACTCAGGGTTATTTTTCTCCCCGGGTGCTATTTAGCAATCCATGCTGGGAACACTTTTTGGTTATCAAGCTGCAGTTGCCAATGTCTATACACCCTGATCAATCATTTACAAGCACTCATTCTCAGACTCCTGGGAAAGCTTAGCTGTCCCTCTTTGCTGTTCTTGTGGGGCTGAGGCACCCAAGGCTTCCTCTGTTCCCTACACAGCAGTATGCCTGGTCTCTACACTCTACATGCCAGTTTCAGTTCAGGGTTGCTGGGGGTAGTAGGTACCCCCATCAGAGTGAGAATACCCTGATCCTAATTTTCCTGTATGTGTGTCTATGTGTCTGTCCTTTCTCCCTAAGTGGCAGGTGGTAATGCTACACATCTATCTTATCATGCTGCCCACAGCAAAGTTACCCAGCTTCAGGTGGTAATAGTGCCAAGGCCAAGATTTCTGCTATAAGGAGACAAACAGTGCCCGGACATACACTCAAATCTTCACTCGTGGATTCATCTTCATCCTGTTCTTCCTCTTCCTCTTCCTCAGTCTCCTCTTCAGGCCTTATCCAGTACCATGCCTCCCTGGGAACCTGAATATTCTAAAAATGCGGAATTATTTTTATAAAACACAGCTAAGTATTCTTGTGATATCCTGAATATGTTTGTGTTAACATAAATTTGTTCTGTTCTTCCAATTAATATTTACTGAGTGAAATTTCTCCATAAACAGTGAGGACAGTTAGAATTTTGTCAGTCAAGCAGGAAAGATGAGCAATGAGTGTAAAACTACATATAAACTAGGAAGTCATTAAGTGTCAGCAAGTACCTGCGAGATAATAGCTCACAGAAATATAGTGAAGTGGAACATTCCTCCCTGCTACTTATAGATGATAGAAATTATGCCAATATTTCAGTGAAGTCATTTTATTTCGATACCACTCACTGTGTTTTATAAAAGGCAAAGATTTCTTTTACAATGATTTTAAAAGATTCCTATTTGAAATGAAATAGATATACCAAGTGATAAATATGGACTAAATTAGGTTATTCTGGTTAATCAAACACTATGGGGGAACAGAACATCTAAACATTCCAGTCCTGAGTAATGCAATTTGAATAAAACAAAAGCTAACCCTTAGCAGACAATCCAGGAAACATGTTCCTGGAGTAAGTCAGCCATTAGCATGTCAGGGGTACAGTAAATGGTACACATCACACAACATTTTTTTGTTTTTTCAAGACAGGGTTTCTCTGTGTAGATCTGGCTGTCCTGGAACTTATTCTGTAGACTAGGCTTGCCTCGACTCTCAAAGGTCCACCTGCCACTGCCTTCTGAGTGCTGGGATTATAGGCATGTACCACCACTGCCTGGCTTAAATGAAATCTTTAAGGGAAAGGTTTTAGAAACAAGAGGTGGAGGGTTTTGTTTGTTTGTTTTTGTTTTAAACTCAATAAAAATATAAATCATATCATTCAGATATCAAAGCACCAGGAAACTGGAAACCACCTACCTTCTGGGCATCTAGCTGCTGGCAAGCTCGCTGGCTCCTTCTCAGGTCTCCTTCGAGCCTCATCTCATCTTGCTTATTTTTCAGTCGCATCCTAAGCGAAAGAGAAGCATAATGTCTATATTCTCTTGACTACTTTATATACCCAAGTACCAAGAACACAATATAATAAAGGGGATTTAAAGCAAAACTAGTTCAAAGAAAACCTCTTACCGGAACTGCTCAGCGGCCTTTTCTTCAATTTGGTTTTTCATGTGAATTTTTCTCTTGTAGTTTTCTAGCCTTTCCTCTGCTTTCCGTTTTAATAATGACTCGTGACCTATGCCACTTTTTCCTGGTCATAGACAAAAATTCTGATGTGGAATTTAAGAACTTACTCACTTTGTTTAAACTTCAAAACAGGACAATTTAAATATTCAAGAAAGTTAAATGGAGTTCTGACTTGAATGTAATTTTCCAAACTTATTCTGTTAAAACGGCAACAGAAAACAGGAAATTTGACAAAGATCACAGAGTCTTATCTAACACAGTAGTTCTACAGACATTTTTAAAACTTAGGAACTGGACAGTGGTGGCGCATGCCTTTAACCTCAGCACTTGGGAAGTGGATGCATGCGGATATCTGAGTTTAAGTTAAGTCCGGTCTGTCTACAAAGTGAGTTCCTTATAGCCAGGACTACACCAAGAAACTCGATCTTAAAAACTCAAAATAAATAAGTAAATAATAAAATTAAGGAAATAGTATCAACTATCACACTTTCTCTTGAATTAATCCAAGGAATTACATAGAAAACATTATTGAGAAATCTGCTTTTGAACATTTTTAGCACATTACAAAAGACAAGGAAGGCACTGTGCTTTCCACAGCTGTAAAATTTTCCCCCTAATATTTGTGGCCCTGGGGTCAGAGGCAGGGCTATATACTGGATGGACAGGTACTCTGCCAATGGGCTTCACCCTTAACTCTTTGGCAGGGCTTCACTATGTAGCTCAGGCTAGCCTCTACATCTCTCTACCCTCCTACATCCACCTCCTAAATTCCCAGAGTACAGATGTATAATTGCAAATGTCTACTCCTGGCTCTCCCATAATTTTTATGATTTAAATTTTATATTCTACTACTTCTATTTCACCAAAACGTACTCAAATTTTTTCCCTCCAAAACAACTTTAAAAAGACTTAGAAGTTTAACATTTCTCTATTCCATAGGCTTCCTATGATAGCCAACTACAAGGGTACCATCACTAAACATATTAAGCAAGCCAATCTAAGTTATTGTTAGTTAATATACTAAAAACATGACTATATACCTGTTTTGACATTGAGAGGAATTGGTTCAACAATACCATCTCCTAAAAAAAGGAAAAAAGAAACGTAAGTTAGAATGTTTTACTTACCACAAAGTTCAGGCTAGTCAGCATAGTAGGTAACATTACAGTGCTCTCTGCATATCTCCTCCCAGTTTCAGTGACATTCCAAATTGAATTCTAGAAACTAATACTCTCTTCTTTAGTTATTATTCTCCTTACTTCCTGTCTGTCTGTCTGTCTGTCTGTCTGAATACTTGTCTATCATTTATTTCTGAGACCAGATCTCACTATGTAGCCTTTGCTGTCCTGGACCTTACTATGTATACCAGGCTGACCCCGAACTCAGAGATCCGCTTGTCTCTACCTCCCCAGTGCACTTATGCCATTTTCAGAAGTGACATCATGGACACAACAGTCTTAGCAGGCAGAAACATCAAGGGGGGGGGTATGAAAAAAAGATCAAAGTTATTAAAATAGAAAAAAGCAAAAAAAAAAAAAAAAAAAAAAAAGCAAACTGAATTTACAGTCACTACATCTTAAATAAGCAGTTTCATTTCCTACAAGGGAACACAGCTTCTCTAAGCAGAAGGTCAGATAGACGGCTGCCACAGGTAAAGAGTAAGCTGGGAAGGGGCCTGGGTCCCCAGCTGCTTCACTGTTATCGGCTACTGTGCTTCTGTGCCTATCACCTGCTACCATTCTTCACTGCTTCCTCAGTCAGCCGCTTGCCGGTGCCTTCAAGGTTAAGCAGCTCATGTCCACAGGTGTGGCATTTAAAATGGATGCTAAGAAACTTCAGTGGTTTTACTTTTTCATAGTCTAAAAAGTACTGACAACTTAGGTCTTCATTAGCACACTGTAACCGAGTGGAAAAGAACACCAAGCCAGTTCCACAAGAGACTTACCACTCTTGCCCAGCGCCTGCCCACTCTTATACCCCATCTTTTGGAGTAAAGCGAACCCTTTGTTTTCAGAGCCTAGTGCATTCTTCAACCCAATGTCACGTCTTTCCCTTTCTTCTTCTTTCACACTCTTCTGCCTATTTTTCAGATTGGCTTCCTGTTGTTTTTCTTCTTTTCGACGGGCCTCTCGGATCTGCCTCAGCATTGGCATACCTGGTCTGATGTCTTCTCTGAAAAATAACAGAAACACTGTTCCTCCCTGTTAGGCAGGTACCCCCTTGTTACTGACAGAAGGCAGAAGAGGGAGCCCAAAGAGTGTTGAGAGAAGAAGTAAAATGGTTAGTGCCAAAAGAGACAACTCTTATTTTCTTTGTGTGGACACACAGGATGCTATGTATTAAAAAATGCCCTGGGCTGTTGTGGGGAGGGTAACTCAGGTAGTGTCAGAGTACTTGCCCAGCATGTATGAAGCCCTGAGAATGATTTACAACACTGCAACAACTAGTCATGGCTTTTGCACATGCCTGTAAACTCAGCTCTTAGGAAACAGAGGCAGGGGAATCAGCTACACAGTGAGCTGGAGAGCAGTCTGAGCTACATGAGACAGACTCTGTCTCACAACAAGCAAATACACATGACTACCACTGCCACCCAACCAATGTCCTTATTTTATAGTCTACATGTGTCTTTTGCAGATCATCATATTAGGCATACACATGTACTTACTGAACATTAATGAAGGAATCTGACATGTAATCCTCTTCTTCTGCCATGTTCAACTTCATATGACAACACTGCCTACAAATAAACGGGACAAAGTATTATCATTATCATTTTAGTTTACCAAAATGGAAATCAAGCATGGAGAGTGGCAATGCTATATGATGATGCTCCCTTGTGCACAAAGATAAAAAATTTCAGAACCTTATGTTCTACCAGCAGTGGAGCGGCCAACCCAACAAAGGCTAACTGGGAATGGTGTGGTCATTTGAAACTTCAAAGCCTCAGTCATGATTTGCCTCCTCTGAGGCCACACCGTCTAATCCTTCCCAAACAAGTACTCCAACTTGGGGACCAAGTATTCAAAAATATGAGCCTATTGGTACCATTCCAATTGGAACCAGCACAGAATTAAACACTCTTGTTTTTTCTTTCCTGAGATTGGATCACCCTGTGTTCTGTCTCATGCTGGCCTAGAAATCACTATGTAGTCCATGCTTGCCTTGGAACTTGTAATTCACCAGTTATGAGACAAACACTCATTTTATGTGGTATTCTCCAAAATGGTCTGCTCCTAGTAAATTTTGCCTCTTGGCTTTTGATAATATTGTGTAATCCCCACATTGAACAGTTCGTGTAACCAACAAGATTTTGTATATTAGAGCAACTTTTGGGTGACTGTACATTTCACTCTGTAAAGTTGGTAGTATGGATTAATTGAATGAAGTCTGTGGTCTCACATGAGAGCACTCAAGAAGCTCAATGAAGCCACCTATGTGGGAGAATCTGACGCACAAATGTGTGAGCCAAATCAGTGAGCTGCTTGGGAATTAGTCAATCCCGAGTGAATCAGACTGAATACCAGTATTCCTACATGTAGTAGTACTCACCTAGTTCACGAACAGCTCAGTAGATATGAACAGTCAGCTCCACTTTCCAGCTGGAAAAATTAAAGCTCAATCTGGCTAAATGATTTGTTCAAAATACACAGAGTACACACAGGTCTTGATAATCTTATTCCTGAAACAGAATGGGGTTATAATTGTGATTGCTGAGCTGGGTATCCAAGCCGGGGCCTCATACATGCAAGGAAAGCATACTATCATTGAGCTAAATCTCGAGTGCAAACTGAATTATTTTTAAGGGGAACATTTCCACACGCAGACATGGTGGTCCACTGGTGTAATTTCAGCACTTAGGAGTTTGAGGGCAGCATGATCTGCACAGTGAGACTCTGTCTCAAAATTCAAAACAGCCCAACCCCATACACAAAGTACAAGGGATTTCAGATAAATTTTAAAGCTCTCCCTTTTAGTTATTACATCTTATAATTACAATTTCCATATCCCATCACACTTATTTACACCCAGGTATTGCAACGTCATTAACTGACAAACTTAGAGGAAGTTCATTACTATCGATGAGGAAGTTAAATTATTAATGAGAGGAATAAGGAATTGGGGCCTCTAGTGTTAAAGATCTCTTGCTATGAGGACAATACACGCTACCATTATCCACTCCCTTCAAAATAAGCATAAACTCCACAAGGCGAACGATAACCTAGGCGACGATGCTGTCCCTTTTTAAGATTAACAGCAGTTAAGAGTTCTGACGCTGGGTCTACCTAAGGAGAAGATCACACAGCATTTGCTGATGATGGATTGGAGGTGATGTCTGCGAAAGAACAGAACAAGACGATGCGAAGCTCTTTGCTTTAGTGCCTAAATAAAGGGTAACCATTTTTCTCAACAGGAAGATTATAGTTGCAGGCTTATTCCTTATTGCGTAAAGGGTACGGGGAGTTTGAAGCAAGATTACACAGAGATGGGCTGGCTACCTCTTTCCTACGGATGCCTCGAGCATCACTGGCCTTTCCCTCCCGCATGCAGCGACCCACCAAAACGACCACTCACGGATGAGGCGCTGCTGATGTCGGGATGGGCAGTCACAGACAGACAGCACCGATCTCAGGCAGTCTCTTCGGTGTCATCAGACCCTAAAAACACAACTTACCTTTTAGATCCAGCTCCGCCGAGCGCACGCTGCGCATGCGCCGTCCAATTTAGCGAAGGACCTGAAGATCTACTTCGCACTAGTCTCTGACAGCAGATTCGCTTGGAAACTTGGGGGCGGGCGGGGTTAAGACAGCGCGAGGAGTGCGCGTGCGTGCCACCAGCGTTCTGCGCGTGCGTCTTCCTCCCGTTTCCTGCAGGCAGGAGTTTGGGAGGCGGGGTATCCGGTTCCCTCCGCAGTGGCCTGAGGAGCTCAGCTGATCGGCCCCCCGCCAGACTAGGTGAGGCGGTCCCGTGCGCTGTCAAAGCGTGCAGGTTGACTTGCACCGCTGTCCCTGTGCCCCGGGACGTTTGCAGAGGACTGAGGAGGGAACGGGAGTTTTGAGGCCCGGGAGCCTCAGCCTCGTGCGGTTTACAGTACGAGAACCCCTACGACGCGAGGCTGACAAGCTGGGATGGCCCGCGACTCCGCCTCACTTTTTCCCTAGGCCCCTAGGCCCGCGGGGTGGACCAAGACACCGAGCGCTTGGGGTCTGCATCTCTCGGGCGCTCCTGCTGTCGGTCCGCGCCCCTAGCCTGTCCGATCCGATGCCTTGGGTCATTATCCTGGGCCCTGGTAGTCAGGGACCCGTAAAGGTGCCTGTACACTCAGCAGGGGACGAAGAAGATTCCCCAAGATGCGTGAGCTTGGTGCTTAGGGAGTTCTTATGGTAGAATGAGTTGCCGGATAATGGCACTTTTTGCCGTATTTATTTTTCGTGCACTCCGTTCTTATCGCCAGTTTAATTTTATTTCTATCTCTGCCTTCTCAAAATTGGTTCTCTCAGCTTGTGTTAAAGAAGTTATTTTGAACAAATGAGAAATAACGAGAAGTGAAACCATACCTTCTTTCTCTATCTTAATGGTTGCATTTATGAAACTTGACACTTAATATTTAAAAATCTTTACATGTGGACACCAGAGAGATGGCTTGGTGGTTAAGAACACTTGTTGCTTTTGAAAAGGACCCAGGTTTGGTTTCCAGCGCCCACCTGGTGCCCTTTAACCATCTGTAACCCCAATTCCAGGGCATCTAATAGCCTGTTCTGATCTTTGTGGGAGGCATATGGAGGCAAAATACCCCTACACATAATTAAAAATTCCTTTCATGTGTTTCCTTTTTTAAATTTTAACTAAACTGTTCATTTAAGGTGTGAATTAAGAGCTTCAATAATGGAGTTAGCTCACAGCTTATTGCTAAATGAAGAAGCGTTGGCTCAAATCACCGAAGCAAAGAGACCAGTGTTTATTTTTGAATGGTTAAGATTTCTTGATAAAGTCCTAGTCGCTGCCAACAAGGTAGGTATTCCTCCCCCACACCTGTGAGATTTATATAAAGAAAATTTAAAACCTTGTGTTTTGACAATGTGAGTCATTCACCTCAGGAATTTCTAGTTTATCTTATTCTTAGTCAGCAACAAAACCCAAACCCTGTCTAAATCCTGCTTGTTGCATTCTTCATATGTCAGCTCAGTGACTGGGAGAAAAAGATGACTCCATGGTTGTTGTCAGTCATACTCATCTGTGCCTGGAAGTGGTCTCAGGATGTCTCTAATCCCAGTTTCCTCGTGTTCTCTCTGGGGACTTGAGAGATTTTTACTGTTTATTCCACTTCCTACATAGCCTCTTGGATGCAAGTTTGTTCTGTGCATGTTTGTTTATTTTTTAAATGATAGATGTGTTCCTCAAATGAGAGTTTTGTTCAAATTTGAGACTGGATCATAGAAGGTGTTCTGGAAAAGGTGAATTTTGTTAACTGAATGTCAGAATAGGCTAGTTCTGAGATTACTATCTTAGTTTGTTCCTCTAGGCTGATTGTTCCCTTGCAGATACTTTTCTAGTGTCTGAAGGAGATGTGGTTAATTATCTAGAATTGAGGTAGGGAGCCTGAAGGCTTCAACACTTAACTTAAACATTCACTTAATTCCTATTTTAGTACAGTGGCTTCAGTCCACAGTTGTACCTGATCCCTCCTTGTCCAAAGTTGTCCCATCCTACTTTCAGAAAACAAGTCTTTAACCTTCTTCTAGAATGGATTTTTTTTTTTTTTTGGCTTTGATTTTACTTTGTGCAACAGGCTTTTATTAGTTATTCCTGGCTGGCCTGGGACTCATTATGTATTGCAGACTAGCTTCAAATATGCAGCTGTCTTCCTTCATTAGCTGCCTGAATGCTGCTAGGCATGATGGATGCACTCCCATATGCCCTCAGACTGTCAATCAGTTATTCCTTTTATTTCTAGGTGCAGATTTATTCTAACCTCAGAAGTTTCCCAAGACAAAAAAAAAAAAAAAAAAAAAAAAAAAAAAAAAAAAACAAAACAAGCAAACAAACAAACAAAAAAACACACACACACACAAAACTATTGGAACGATTGGAGTACTTTGTTAGCTTTCTCTGTTTGGAATTCTTGGCTTTCAGATTTTTCTTGGGTTCTTTTCCTGTTGTCATGGCCATTGTTGATTTGTGCTTTGATGCTGGTATTCCTGCCTGTTAGGATCACTTTAATTGCTAGAAAGGCAGTACATGCATGGGTTTCCTTGTAACTAGAAATTTATATTTGTCTCTTAAATCTTCTGTAACTGGGCATTTGTTGTTTTCCTCCCACTGAAAAGTCCTTTTCAAGTTATCACATAACTCAAATTACCCAAAACAATGGTCAGGACTTGTTTTATTTGGTCCTTTCTTAACTTCTCACATAGCTGAACCTCCACTTTAAATACTTAACACTCTTGTTGTCTTACTCTTTAGTGATAGCTAATATTGTAATTTCTACCACCATTCAGAAATCCAACTTTAGAAGACCTCTCATGGACTGCTATGTAGCTCATTTGGTAGAGCACTTGCCTCTAACATGAAAAAGCCCTGGGTTCAATTCCCAGAATTGCATTAAAACAATTTTAAGTGATGGCCCACAGCAAGAATCCCAGCCCTTGGGAAGTGGAAGCAGAAATGTTCACAGTCATCTTATTCAGCTACATAGTAAATGCAAGGCCAGCATGGGATATATGATCCATATTCATCCTCCCTCTAACCCTCCCCTTTTCTTTCCCTTCTCTCCCCCCACATGTACACACAGAAACACACAGTTAACACTATCAACATCTAAACCAAAGTATTGATTTCCTTTTTTAAACTTGTTCTTTCCCAAACTGTTAAAGTCCTTCTTCTTTCTTAACCCTCATACCATGTTGATTAGCAAATATTAATGGAATTACCCATAAGCATGCCTAGAATCCATTTACTTCCCTTCACCTGCCTCTTTGGTTACTCTCTTCTGGGTTATTACAGTAGCTTTCTAATTGCTCGCCTTGTATATTCAGCATCCATAGTTTTAACAGTGAAATATTTGGATTATAACCTTCCTCTGCTTAAAACTCCCATTCAGAATAAATTTAATATTCTTCGGTGTATCTGGTACTATCATCTTGTTTCTTTGATTTCCTGCTACTGTTTTCTCCTACTTCATCCCAGCTAACCTGACCTTGCTGTCCTCAGGTGTGCTAAGCATGCTTCATCTGCAAAGCCATTGCATGTCTTGTTCCCACTCCCTGGAATGTTGTTTTCCTGGATAGCATAGCTCACCACTTCACCTTAGAGAGAGATGTTTTTCTAATTAATTTATATAAAATGCTACGCACTCATACCATTCATTTATTTATACTCTGTCCCTCCTCGAATGTAAATTTCATGAGAACCAGACTGTGTTTGTTTTGTTCACTGTTGCACACAGTGCCTAGAGTAGTTGCATGGCATGTAGTAATTGCATTGTACTTCTTAAATGAATGAGTGAATTTTGATACTGACTAGATACTGATTGTGCATAGATATGGGAATTTCATTCTGTTGCTTAGGCCTCTTCAAAATTTCTCTTGGTTTCCTTTACTAGCCCATAACTTTATGGACA